AAATTCGTCAGAATTATTCCGCCGAGGTGGAGGCCCCGTCACCCGCCTGGTCACCCTGCCTCCGTGTGTGACCTCCGACACCTTACCTTCTCTCTGGGCTCTGGAGACGTGAACCACTTTCTCCCCCCGTTGGCCGAGGAGCAGCACAAGTGGCTTTCAAGATGCAAAACCAGCCCCTCGGTTGTTACTTCCTCCGGGTTGTGCAGAAGCCACTGTCCCAAGATGAGCGGGGTGACGCTCAGGACGCACGAAAGCCGCCACGGCCCCGGAGAAGGGCCTGAAGCAGACCCTTGGGATCCGCAGGCCCGGAGCTCTGGCCTCAGCTCTGTGACTTCCTGCACGAGCCACTTCCGGGTGAGTGGGTGAAACTCATCAGGAGCATAAACCACACCTAGCTCACCCTGCAGGTGGCCCTCGGGGCCCGCAGGCCGGGCGGGGGAGGGTCTCCTGCACAGGCCTGCCTTCAAGCCTGATTACCAGCCCTTGGAGCCCAGGGGGTGGGGAGGGGTCCCTCTGCACCCCTGGCGTCTGGCTCCTGCCCGAGCCTCTTCCTGCAAACGCTAAGCATCTTCTCCACCACCGTGCAGCCCTCTCCCAAGCCTGGGACCAAAGGGAAACCATAAAGCTTTTTGCAGCCAAAAACAAACAAACAAACAAACAAACAAACAAACAAGTACACAAAAGAAGAGAAAAAAAGAACACGGGGAGATTTCTGTGAGTCCTTGTCAACCTTACATCGCACACTTGTGAGATTTAGGTCAAGGTGGGTTGGGGCTCTTTTCTCTGTTAGTGCTAACCCCCCCGGAGGACCCCCGCCACGGCAACAAGGGCCCTGCCCAGGCCTGACTTGGAGAGCCCTGCACCCCAGCCCGGGGAGCAGAGACCCAGTGGGGTCTCTGCCTCGGGCCTTGTGATGTTGCAAGAGGGTGTGCGGAACTGTGACAGAGGGGCCATTAAGACGGAGCCCTGGGGCGGGCCCACCCTGGGGCGCCCAGAGACCTGGGGTTTGAATTGGGTTCCAAGCCTCGGTTTCTTCGCCTGTGAGCTGCGGAAGGGATTTTACAGGGTTTCAGAGATGACTCGTGCAAAGCCCCTGACAGAGCAGATGCTCGGAACCTCCCTCTGGAGCGCACCTGCCATTCTGCTGCCCGGCCCCTCCCCCTTCTCCCAGGGGCACCCACCTGTGTGGTTCCCACAGGAGCACCTGTTCTGTTTTTTTAAGATTTTATTTATTTATTTTTAGAGAGAGGGGAAGGGAAGGAGAAAGAGGGAGAGAAACATCAATGCGTGGTTGCCTCTCATGCGCCCCCTACTGGGTACCTGGCCTGCAACCCAGGCATGTGCCCTGATGGGGAATCGAACCAGCGACCCTTTGGTTCACAGGCTAGCACTCAGTCCACTGAGCCACAGCAACCAGGACAGCAGCACCTGTTCTTACGTCACTCTGCCCTCAGGTTGCTTGTGATTGGTTGGGGGTGGGGGTGAGATGGGTGCTGAGTGGAACATAGCCAATCACATAGCCCTTTCCTGGGAGTTCTTTCTAGCCTGGAGCCAGTGGGGCTCCTGTAGAGGGAGATCCCATTGGCAGCCCTGCTGCTGCCTGGCCAGGACAGCAATCTGCAGTGACAGGGATCTGACCCTGGTGGTCCAAGACACAGGGAAGCCCCAGTGGTGCTGCTGCAGTTGTTTCCCCACTGCACCCCTGTCCGACCACTGCCTCCACGGGGTCTCCCACTCACTCCACCTGGAGGCCACCCCCCGCATGCAGCACAAACTTCCTCCCCGCTCCCATGAAACAAAACCAAAGCCACGGTGAATAACACGTTTACGGTGTCCTGGAGACTGGCGAGGTGAGATGTTTCCACTTCGCTTTTTCTCTCTCTTTCTAGGGCCCCCGCTTCCCACCGCACACACCAGGCCCCGGTCTGCGCTCTCTCCTCCCCCCACACCACATCCAAGGGCTCCTCCTTCTCAGCATCTGTGTTCATGAGAAGCAATTCAGCCGCATAAAACTGCTGAAGCAAATCCTAGAGACCTCACAGGGACTGCCCAGGTATCTGCAAACAGGTACCTGGGTCCTCTGTTCACCTGACTCCGGAGAAACTGGGGGCTCCACCCACAGAGGTCATGCAGGGTTCCTGTGGCCATCAGAACCCGGTGCCTAAGCAAACACGCAGCCTGCCTGCAGCCCAGCCCTGGCGCCTTCGCCAGCTGCAGGCACAGGAGGGCGGCCTCCAGGCCCATGGTGAGTGGTGCAGACGGGGGCGCAGCCCACCAGTCATCGGGGAGGGCAGAGGGTGCGTGAGAGACAGGAACTGGGGCTCAGAGGTCATGTCTGGGGTGGGTGGCACTGTGGGGATGGAGTCAGAAAAGGGGCTGTGCCCAGGACATAGGGCCCCACAGCTGGGCTCCTCCCCTGGGGCTGGACAGTGGGTGACTGCACTCCCCCAGGGAGCGGGCTGAAGTCCCAGAGAGGAGCCAGCACAGAGGGAGGGAGGGAGGGAGGGAGGGAGACCAGGCAGAGGGAGCTGGTTTGCGAGACAAGCCTGTGTGGCTGGAGAGACTCCTGGTGTCTGCTCCCTCGTTACCCCTGTCTCTGTCTGGCCATCTGTCCACGGCTGTTGTTCCTGCCACTGTGCTTTTGTCTTAGGTGAGACAAATGGCCTGGGCCAGCAGCCTAATAAGAACAGCAAACAGAGGAACGTGGACCAGGAAGGGAAGGGAGGAGGCACACGGGCCCCCGGGAACCAGTCACAGGACAGAGCACACACAAGGGCCTCTGAGCCCTGTAGACAAAGGTGGAGCATTTTTGGGGCCTGGGAGGGAGGGCAGCAACCTCATGTACCAGCACAGAAGCACCACTTGTGGCAGGGGGGACGAGGTCCCAGTCACCCCGACCCCCAGTGGCAGGCCCAGACCCCGATGCCAGGGTGCCTGAGTCCCCGACTTGCTTCACCCCCACCACCCACCATGCGTCCTGGGCTTCGCTTGTCCGCCCAGCAGAGCAACCCTTTTCATGGCCACAGGCTCTCCGTGGGTGTTGGCAGCAGCCGTGGGCAGGAAAAGGGCTGTGGACGGTGAAATAAACAGGGTGCTGGAAAACCTGCCTCAGACAGGGGTGCGGGGAAGTGGGGCTCTGGGACGCCGCCCCGCAGGGCTCGGGGGTGGGGTGGGGGGAGTGACGTGCCCTCACCTAGGGGAACGCCCATGAGGAGACCCGGGGCCCCAGTCCGGGACTCTGGGGTGCTGCGCAGGCTTGGCGGAGGGTCACATTTCCGGGCCAGGCTCTTGGGCAGAGCAGGAGCTGGCGGAGGCCTGTGTTCGCCCAGGGAGCCGCAGGCGTGGGCGGGGGTCCTGGAGCTGCAGCCTGGTCCTGGCGTCACAGGCCCTTCGGGGCCAGGAGGAGCTCCGCTCGCTCCAGCTGGTGCCCCAGCGCCTTGCCAGCCCGGGCCTCTGCGCTGGGTCCAACCAACCTCACGGGGCTCGGCCCCGCCACGGCAGCACCTCCATCTCCATTCACGTCTGTTCCCGTAAGTCCCCCACTGCTCTGCCAGGTGGTCAGAAATGGCGCCGTCAAAGCGGACTTGTCCTGGCGCGGGCGGGCACACACGCCCCTGCCTCGCCCGCCTTTGCTTCCGCGCTCCGCAAGTCTCCCGGCTTTGGCTTTGGCTTTGGACGGTCAAATCACCATTGTTTTCACCGCATGAGCACGAGTGCAAATTGACTATAAAACAAAACGCCAAGGCCCAAGGATAAATGGGCCAGGAACACACACTTAAGTCACACTCACACACACACAATCACACACAGGAACACACAAATGCACATGCGCCAGTTTGGGGTGTGTGAAATGAGCCCCAGCACCTGCCCTGCACAGTGAGGCCCTGCACTCAGAGCTCTTTCTGAAGCACCTTTGCAGGGACGGCTTTCCCTGGCTGGTGCTCCTCTCTCTAAAAATAAAAAAATAAATGAAAACGGGGCCCCAAGGCTGCATGTGGAAAGCTCAGGAGAGGTGTCCCAGCAAGGCCTGGGGCGGGGCCCTGGGAGGAAGTCCCCTGATGGGGAACAGCAGGGCACCCAGGGGTCAGAGGGAGTGGCCTTCAGCAGTCTGGCCCCACCCCCACCCCAGAAAAACCGGGAACCTGACCTGTGTGCCGGACATTTGGGGGGCGGGGGGCAGTGGACCGAGCCCAGCACTGCACCTGGAGCAGCGCACCCAGCGTGAGCTCCTCACTGACACGGTGGTGCAGAGTCTGCCCCCAAATCCACGTGTGGGGCCCCGACTCTCCGTGGGACTGGACTTGGAGGCAGGGCTTTTGGGAAGCAATTAGAGTCACAGGAGGCTGTAAGGGAGGGGCCGAGGTCCCATAGGACCCAGTGGCCCCTGGCTCTCTCCCAGGAGAGGCCACCCCAGGGAAGGGCCAGGCCTCTCCAGAGACCGTCCGGAGGGCACTCTGCCCTCAGACTTCGGGCCGCCGGCACTGCAGGGTCACGCCCTCTGCTGGTGAAGCCCCGTCTGGGGTATCTTGTCATGACAGCCCCCCAAGCCCGCCACTGCGCCCCTCAGTGACCCGAACATGTGTTGGGAACCTTACACCTGGCTTCTAGCTAAAAACATTGAGTTGATTACAGGAACCTGTGCGCTCCACAAGCCAATCGGCTACAGGTACGTGAGGTGTCCACGAGTACCAGTTGCACCCAAGTAATCAATAAGCGGGCCCTTCTTTGTCTCAAGCTAGCCAATAGCAAGCAACCTAATCTCTCCCTCCTTCCCTATATATATACCCAGTTCGGAAAAATAAAGTTTGCAGCTTGATCAGAATCTTTTGTCTTGCTGCCATTCTTTGCGCCTCTTGTCCCCCCAACCCATTTGTTCTAGGTAGGTGGTCGAGCCCCAGTTGACATGCATGAAACATCCACAGGAAACCACATCCTCATTCAAACACCATTCACGGTCACACCACAAGCCCCCACTCAAGAAAAAAGCCGGCAGTGTGGTCTGCTGCAGCTGTTTATTTAGAAGTCTACAAATTGGAGATTTTAAGAAAGATTCACAAAATATTCAGTTGAAAACACATTTCTGGCTCATCGAATTTCAAATACGTTTTACTCCTCTGAACAATATATTCCAGAGCTGTCTAAAACACAGCCAAATTACTTTTCTTTATTCGTTTATACACATTCTGTTAATTTTTTGAAAATGAAGATTAAGATGAAAAATATTGGCAAAACTACCCGATCACAACTGCTGCTTCCCCACGCACTGAAGTGTTTTCCGTGTGTCTTCTCGAGGTCAGTTCTCGCGGCGATGCAGCAGCTTGGGTGTGTCGCAGCCCTCGCTGGAAACTGTTTCTGAATTTACAGGTCACACAAAATACACAATTTACAAGGGGACAGACGCCTTTCAATGGCATTTTGAAACCCCTTCCTATGTGGAAACACGCAGGAAGCGACATTCCCCATTAGACACCGGTCGTTTTCGGTCTTTCATTTTTATCCTTTGCTCCATTTTTTAATGAAATGTGTGTTGTGAGTTGTGTCCCCGAGGCCCACCCAGCGTCAGCTGGCTCCGGGGACCGCCACGAAGGCTCTCTGTCCTTGGCCAGGTGGGAGGCGCCTGTGTCCCCAGGTCCCCAGCCGTTGGAACCAAAGATTCCAAGAAAACACGGCAAGGATACCCACGGATACACCAAAGGGAGGGCACGTGCAGGAAGGAACACAAACAGAAATGACAGTAAAGCTTCTACTACATCAGGAGAAATGTTACAAGTCAGTAAGGTACACATGCCACCTGAGCAGGCAGCGCAACAATCTGCAGAACTGGCCGGTCTTCACTGCAGTCGCGTGGTGGCCACGGGTTCACTGGGGAGGAATCTCTCCACGAAGCACGGACGTCGGGGCTAAGAACCGTAACGGTCCTGAAGAGAGAGAACCAGGAGACGGTCACCCACCCTCTGCAGGGCTCCGCATCCCTGCCACACGGCCCTGCCGGGCACTGCACAGCTCCAGGCCGTGGAGGGGGACAAAGTGTCCGGGCGGGCAGCGCAGGCCGAGGGCCGAGCCCCGGGAGGCAAGTCTGACGGGAGGACGGGACGCTCTGGCGGCCGAACCGTGAAGTGGGGACATCGTCTATAAATCAGGGATGCCACCTGCTCAGAAGGACTGCTGGGGGCTCAGCTGCCCTCGGGGACAGGGAGGAGCTCCGCGGTGTGACCGGAAGCTCCGTCACCAGTGGAGAGGTCCAGGTTACACCGCGGCAGCCACATGGGCGAGAAACACAGTCTCGCTTTCCAGCCCGTGGAGACGGTGAGAATGCAAACCCTGCGTCACACCGCGATCGTCCCCACGCCCCGCTCACCTGGATGGAAGTCATGACGCCGTTAGCAAAGACGGACAGCTTCCCGGCCACGGCCCTCACCCCCTGCTTCAGCTGGGCCACGTCAGGGGCGGTGGGCAGCACGCTCGTGAGGCTGTAGCTTCCTGCACACACAGCGGACGCTGGCTTGTCACTCTGCCCTGGCCGCACGGCCTGGGCCAGGCACGCAGTGACTTCAGATCGCGTGGGGCCCTCCCCACCCCACCCGAGGTCCAGGGAGGGGACCTGCAGTGGGGTCAGAACTTGGGTTCTGGCACCAGCCCCACCACCCTGCACGTGCCCCCAGCTGCACACCCCCCCGCGGGGAGACATGGCTCGGGGCCCGCAGGCCGCCCGGGTGCATCACTGGCACGGGCCCCGTCCAAGCCGTGCGCCTCTGGAGGGGTTCCTACCCTCTGGACGCCTACTCCCTCCGGGTGCTTAACACGAGACCTGACGAGGACGGGCTCAGTGAACACTGGACGGCTCCTGTGGTTCTGTGCGCTCAGCATCCCTTCCCCCTCCTTTGGGAAAGCCCTCCCCCTCCCTGTAGGCTGTTCCCTCCCCTCGACCCTACCCAACGGGCTGGGCACAGGACCCGGCCTGGCTGAGCAGGGTCTCCCAGGGACTGTGTACAGTCGGTGAGGGAGCCGTCTGCCTGCCCTGGGGCTCCTGGCAGGGCTGCTGCACCCCTGCGGCCGGGGCTGCGGTTGTGCCCCTGCAGGGCGGGTGGGCGGGGGAGCCCGGCCAGGGGACGAGGCCGGGGGCAGCCGGGGTTCTCTTGCTGAGGTCCGGCCGCCCCAGCATGAACACCAGCACACTGCCACCGCCCGGGTGAAGGGTGCCAGGCTACCACCACAAAGCTGACAACCAGGACCTGGTGGTGACCTTGCACCACACGACCGCAGTCAGATGCTGGGGGGCTTGGGGGCTGTGCGTGAACCGGAGCCTGGGGTCCTCCAGGGAGCCCAGTCCAGCTGTCCCCTCAGCTCCACCCGCCTGCTCCTCTGGGGGCAGAAACCAGGTCCCTCCCGAGAACGAGGGCAGGGACAGGTCTACCCTCCCTCGCTGCTCCAGGCCCCTGCCCCCTGGGGAGGGGCTGTAGGGGGTCCTCCCTCCGCCTCCAGACTCTAAAATCCTGTGGCTTTTGTCAACGACAGAGCAGAAGCCCAGCCCCGTGACAGGATCCGGGTTCGAATCCCGACTGGGTCACTGCCTCGCAATGCTGCCTGCCTATAAAACAGGTCTTTCCAGGACCCCCAGAGCCCGCATGGGGTCCTGAGCACGACGGGCCAGGACCCCAGTGTCACCACTGCACAGGGAGGTCCTGCGTCGTGCGTAGGTGTGGACAGAGGTCAGCAGCAGTGGCCTGAGAGGCGGCACCTCCTCCTACGACAAGTGTCCAACCCGGGGAGTGTTCAGAGAGGAGAGCACAGCGCAGGGAGGCCCAGCGCTTCCAACACTCGGCTCCTCCGCAGACCCTGCCGGGTCTGGGCAGGGCGCCCGGGGGACTGGGGACGGCCCCCAGGTGCCCTGGGGCGGCCGACAGATCCCCATGTCACTCCTCCCCACCCCTTCTCTGCACAGAACTCCTGAATCGTAAGCCTTGCAGCAAACCATGTCCAAGTGACAGAGTTCAGGTCACTAGGACGTAGGCAGAAGTGCCTTGCGGGGCGGGCACGCCCTTGCCTGCTCTCTCCCTCCCTCCTTCCTGCGCTGGCGTCTGACGGCTGCGCTGGCGCGGCCATGTCTGACGTGCGCTGGAGCGGCCACATCGGGCACCAGGTGAAGCAGAGAACGCAGCCCGTGAACGGCAAGGTGAGAGGGGCCTGGGTTCCCGACGCCGGGAACACAGTGCGCCGGCCCCAGACTGCCTCCCAGACAGTGCAGGAGCGGGGAACGGCCCCAGCTGGGGTGGCTCAGTGGACTGAGTGCCGGCCTGGGAACCAAAGGGTCGTGGTTCAATCCTAGTAGGGGGGCGTGCGAGGGGCAACCACTCATTGATGTTTTTCTCTCTCAAAACAAGAGAGAAACAGACTCAGATCTGGTTTAGTCTCTGTTACTGTGAGTTTACTTACTTAAGGCTCACTAATGATTTAAACTCTCAGGCTCAGTCTTGGGGCTCCCGGCCACCTCCCCACTGCAGTCTGGACCCTGAAGAGGGATGGGGGAGACAGGAGACTCCTCTCCGCCCACCTGTGCTCTGTCCTAGAGGCCGGAGGCCGCTGCGGCCACCTGCTCCGCCAGCCCCTGAGCGCGGGAGGGGCCTGGGGGCCTGTCCTGGGCCAGACCCTGAGAGGGCGCCTTCCGTGGAAGACTCCGGTCAAGCCTCTGTCACCCGTGTGAGGAAGGTGTCACCCACCCGCTTTCCAGAGCAGACTGAAAGCAGATGGATGTTCGAGGTCCCCCGGTTAGGGGTGGTCGGCAGGAGCCCTGGACTGTGACGCCACCTGAGTCGGACACCGCGTTCACGCTGTGCTGGGAACGCCCATCTGCGACCATGTTTCAGGGGGACGGCCCGTCGGGGAGCTCAGGGGCCACTGCTTAACCACACAGCCTGGCCTCCCGACAGGCAAAGCCTAGGAGAGCAACTTGGGCATTGCCTGAGAGGAGACGAGGGCGTCCAACGGTGGCTGTCGCCGACAGCAGCAGCCTCGGACGGGGCGGGGCGACGTCCCCCACGGAGCACACTCGTTCCCGGCGCGGACACGGCGCCCGCCTTACCTGCTGCCTGCTTCCTCTGCTCATCAAACAGGTCGGCCGAGCCTATGGCGGAGCTCCCCGAGAGCCTCTCCAGCCGCGCCCGGGCTTCATACTGGACGGGACGGGAAAAGGACAGTCAGGCTCCAACCACCACGAGCAACTCACAGGAAGGGCTGCCAGGGGCCGCCGGTCCAACCTGTCCCACAGCTCGCGCCCTCCAACTGCTGCTGAAGGGCCGCCTCCAGGGCAGGGCAGGGCCTGGTGCTCCCGTCGGGCAGGTCAGAGGCAGGCAGCCCGGCCACCGCCACCATGGCCCACGATCGGTACGAGGGACACGCAGAGTGAGACAAGCCACCGCTGGGGGACTGATCTGGGAAGCTCTCTCCCAACACCCATTCTGTGTTCTGTAACTGAACTCGAATGTGGTCAACTTTAAAGCGAGGCAGATTTTAGGGGTTGGGAAAAGCCTAGTGACACTCTAAATACGCATTTAAAAAAAAAGATTTATGTATTTTTAGAGAAATGGTAAGGGATGGAGAAAGAGAAGAAGAGGAACACTGATTGTCTGCTTTTTGTACACGCCCTGACTGGGGACCGAACCTGCAACCCAGGAATGGCCCTTGACAGGGAATCGAACTGACAACGCCCGACTGCGTCGTGCCAGTCAGGGTTCACTGTAAATACTATTGAAATGCGGAGCACGGTCTACCGCTGAAAGTCAAGTCAGCGCACGTCAGTAAAGACTTCTCTGGGTGGTCCCAGACGCCTGGCCATACACCCAGAATCTCCGGGGGCTTCATGTTAGCACGCGGCACCTCAGGATGGGGCGGGGGGGCCCAACACCCCCCCCCCCCGTCTCCGCTGGAGGGTTGCCGCTCAGCAGACCCCACTAAGACCGGGCACGGGCACTTGTGAGGAGGGATGCGACACGGTCTGAACCAAACACACCCACACTCTGTTTAACTGGGCTTAGGAACGACTGAAGCCCAGCCGCGTCGAGGTCGCCACGAGGTTATTAAAAAGGTGCTGAGTGGGTGCCGAGAAAGGGTGCGGAAAAGACCCCGCTGGCCACTCAGAACACTGAGGACGGAGAGGAGGGACAGAGGAGACAGCCCCTGCCCTCCGGCCACTCCCCCAGGGCTGGTCAGGGAGCCCCGGTGCGGGTCCTCCTCCTGTCCCCTGGGGCCAGGGGCTTCCCGCCCACGCAGCACCCACCGCCTGCTCCGGGGACCCGCGCAGACGCTCTCTGACACTCACCTCAGCCGGGGCTTGTCTTCCAAAGTACATATCTGATGAAATGGCTCTGACGTTGCCAAACTTCTTCTGGGCCTCGTCTGTGTTTTCAACTGGCTCGTAGTCTGGCTTGCGGCGAGTAGTAGGTCTACAGTTGGAAACAGCCAAAGTAGGAGAGACATGAGCAAGCTGGCGGAGTAGGAGTTTCCACCACCACCCTGCTATGTTGAACTTGACGTCCCCACAGATGAGGGTGCCTCTGTGGGGGTCCGGGCAGGGAGGGCCCAGCACACCACCGGGCACCAGAGCCAAGCCTGTGCACATTAAAGAAGGTGAAAGGAGCGGGTTCCCTCTGCCCGCATCATCCCTCCCCCAAGGTGGCACAGCTCAGTGCCCAGAGAGGCCCACCTGGGGGCAAGTGAGGGCCTCCCCCAGGGGCAGGGGAGAGGGTGGTGAGCAGGTGTGCCTGGCCTCCCCCGCCGTGTGGGACGTGGCCGAGGGCTGGGAGAGGCAGGGAACGCATCAAGGGCACATGGTCCTACTAAGCTCCTCGCAGAGTCCATGAAGAGGCCCGCTCCAGGCTGCCGGCACACCCCGTCCGCGGAGCTCCCAGAGGGCGCACCGGGCCATCCAGTGCTCCACATGCCCCCCCACGCAGCCCTCCCCCACCACAGCCCGCTCCCTGCACTGGCGGGCGGTGGGGCTTGGCGGGGCTGAGAGAAGGCACACCGTCTTCAAAATTCACCCCGGGAGGGAGGGAGAAGTGCGGAGTAGGGGCGTCCGTAGAAAGGGTCCGAGAAAGCCTCGGAAGCCTAGGAGGGCTGACGCTGGACAAGACTCTGAGGAACGTGGAAGATCAAGGGAAGAGGACACCACGGAGGGAACACAGTCACTTTGCAGGAACTGGTCCCAGAGAGCTGCCGACAGAGAATTCAAAGTCCTTCGTAAGGAAGTTTAGCCGCCTACGAGAATGCAGAAAGACAACTCAGCGGACCCTGGAACGTAATCACACATAAAAAGAGAAGTTCAAGAGACACAGAAATCACAAAGCAGGACCAAAAAACCCCCAAACCTATGGGCTGAAGAACACAATGAAAACCGCAACAGAGCGCGCCCACAGCAGACCTGATTAAGCAGAGGAAGAACCTGTGAACTCAAAGGTAACGTATCTAAAACTATCCCGTCAGAAAGAAAAAAAGAATGAGGGTGAAGAAGCCAAAGGAACTGTGGGACACCTTACAGGGGATGGAGACTGGAGGGAGAAAAGGACGGAACTCGAATTTAAAGAAACAGTGGCTAAACACTTCCCCAACCTGGAGAGAGAGACGGACATCCAGGTCGATGAAGCTCATAAATCCCCAGATTCAATCCAAAAAGGTCTTCACCAAGACACATTACAATAAAACGGTCAAAAGTCAAAAACAAAGAGAACGAAAGGGCGCGTCACACGGCAGGAACTCCAGGACGGCTGCCAGCAGCTTCTCGGCAGAGCCTGACGGCGGGGAGGCCGCGCAGGCGCACCGCCAATCACCCGACTGTCTCAAGAGAAGACTAAAAGGAGTCCTTCCAGCCTAAACGAAAGGCTGCCAATTAGTAACATGAAATATACGAAGTATAAAACTCACCGGTACAGGCGCACGCAGAAAACTACAATGGTGGTGTGTAAATCACTTAACTCCAGTATAAAGGTTAAAGACAAAAGTGGTCAAAACAACTACAGCAACAATAGTTTGTTAGTGGAAGGGCTGTCAGTGAATGCACAACAGAAAAAGAGGCAAACGGTGGCATCAGAGACGTAAATGCAAGCGGGGAGAGTGAGAGTTTCCGTCTGTGACCTAAGTCAGGTCGTTCCCAGTCCAGAACCCGCTGCTGGAACGGAACCTGGCGCCAGCCTCGTGAGAAGGCGGACACGGAGACCCGCGGGAGGTGCGAAAAAGGCAAAGCGACCAAGTCCCAGAGACAGAGAGAGGGAGAAATAAGAAGGCTGCAAAATAAGGAGAAAATAATGAGATGCCAATAGTAACCTTACCAATCAACAGTAACTTTAAATGTAAATGGATTAAGTTCTTATATCAAAAGACAGAGTGGCTGAATGGATTTAAAAAAACAAAACAGCCCTGGCTGGTGTAGCTCAGTGGATTGAGCGCGGGCCTGCGAACCAGAGGATCGTTCGATTCCCAGTCAGGGCACATGCCTGGGTTGCAGGCCAGTTCCCGGCAGGGGACACACAAGAGGCAACCACACATTGATATTTCTCTCCTTCTCTCCTTCCCTTCCCCTCTAAAGATAAATAAATAAAATCTTTAAAAAAACAAACAAACAGTCAAACACAAAATACCAAGCCTGATGGATGTGGCTCAGTTGGTTGGAATGTCGTTCTGTAAACGGAAGGTCGTGGTTCGATCCCACGCAGGGCTCACGCCTGGGTTGGGTTGTGGGTCTGGTCCCTAGCTGTGGTGCCTGCGAGGGGCAACCGGTCCGTGTGTCCCTCCCTCCCTCCCCCTTCCCTCCTCTCTAAAATCAGTAAGTGTGCCCTCGGGTGAGGACCAAAAATACGAGACACAACCACTGCTGCCTACGGGAGACTCGCCTGAGCTTTAAGGACACGTGCAGGCTGGAAGCAGAGAGGGAAAAAGATACGCCCTGTAAGGGGAAGCCAGAGGGGCGCAGGGCAGCCGTGTTTATCTAAGAAAAAACAGACTGCAACCCAAAAACTGTAACAGGAGACAAAGATCATCCAGTAACGATAAAAGGTCAATTCATCACAAGGAGACAGCGGTTGTAAACACACATGCGCCGGCCGTGGGAGCACCTGAGCGTGCTGAGCAAAATCTAACAGGTCTGAAGGGAGAACTGACGGTGCCCCAACGGCAGTGGACTCGAGTACCCCACTTTCGGCCATGGACACTTCACCCAGACAGAAAGCTGGGGCGGGATGCTGGACCTGAACTGTGCACTGGACCGAATGGACCGACAGGCCCGTCGAGGACACTCCACCCCAAGGTGGCAGGACACACATCCTGAAGGGCACACAGAACGTTCTCCAGGATAAATCCCATGTTGGCTCACAGAACAAATTTAAGTCCTATGTTAGGCCTTAACAAACTTAAGAAGGTTGAAGTCATATTAAATATCTTTTCCAACCATAAAAGTGGAAATCAACAACAGGGGGAAAACTGGAAAATTCACAAATATGTAGAGAAACTAACACATTCCTGAACAACCACAGGGCCAAAGAAGAAATTTTAAAAATGTCTTGAACCAGTGAAAATGGAAACACGACACACCAAGACTTCTGGGACGCAGCAAAGGTGGTTCCAAGAAGAACGTTCACAGCCAATGGGCACACGGAACACGGCTCCACGTCACCGATCATCTGGTTCACGCAAACCAACGCCGCAAGGAGGCACCTCCCACGCCCGGGGCAGCGTCCGGCATCAAAAAGGCAGAGCTAAGTGCTGCTGGGCTTGGGAGAAAAGGAGCCACCGCACACTGCTGGTGGGATGTGCATTGGGACGGCCACCATGGAAACCAGTATGACGGTCCCTAAAAAGCCAGAAATATCTTAGGATGAGGGACCCCACTTCTGGGTGTATGTTCAAAGGGGACGAAGTCAGGGTGTTGGAGGCGCTGCGATCCCGCGCTAGCTGGAGCACCACTCACAACAGCCAGGGCGTGCAGACACCCCGAGTGTCTGTCATCAGGGCAGGGGTAAGGCAAAGGGACACACACACACACAGTGGGTGTTGTTTTATCATAAAAAATAACCCTGCCATTTGTGACAACATGGTTGAACTGGAGAACACTGTGTTAAGCTAAATTAACCAGAGAAAGACAAATACTATGTGAACCATCTATCAGTAGAATCCAACATTTTTTTAAGAAGTTGGACTCAGAAACAGAGAGCGGAGTGGTGGGGGGGGACAACGGGCCATCTGCATTTACGAGGCGGGTGAGTTCTGGGGCCGAGAGGCCGGCATGGCGTTCACGGCTAACAAGGCCGTGTCTGCGCCGGAAACTGGAGAAGGGAGTAGATTGTGTGTGCTCAGCACACACAGACACGCACGCACACAAAACCAACAAAACCCCAGCAATGGGGTTAAACTAGTATGAGGTGAGGCAAGTGTGTTTATTTATAATGTGTAAACGTGCCGCTTTGCTTTTTAAAAAAGCCAACAGGCCACTTTTAAAAAGCCTGAAAATCCTAGTAAAAAAAACCAGTACACGCCCGAACCACACGACAGTGGGAGGAAGTCTCCGTGTCGAACGGGCCCATCGTTTCGCTCTCAGCCCCACAGTTTGCGCTGAGAAAACACCGAACACACCGCGTGCACCTGGCGTGCGGCTCCACACAACAGGGGGCGCAGAACGAGTCTCCCAGGACGGGCCCCGGTTGCGCCTGCTGTCCCAAGGTGACCCGACATGTCACCTTGCACTATCAACGCTCCCCGGTTTGGACAACGAATTAAACAGTCCTTCATCCGTGACGCCCCCCCATCTGGAGGCAGCTCTTCGCCAGGTGGGCGGGTAAACAGACTCAACGATAAAGAGGCAAGAACACAAGCACGTGGATGAGTTGCGAGGCACCAAGAAAAGTCAAAAGGTCTCAACAGACCAGTCTCTGCATAATTCTATTTAGGGCACCTTTCAGAAAAAGCAAAGTCAGAAAACAGCCCTGAGTGCCAAGAACGCCCTTGAAGCAGAGGAACAAACTCATTCACGAGCCCGGAGACGCCCCCAGAGGGGACGGCCGCACTGCCGGCCCCTCGCACCTGTCGGGGGGGCCTGTGGCTTTCGGAGCCACGTCAGGGTCTCTGATGCCCTTCTTCCAGTAGGCGTCCGAGCCGTCGTCCCAACTAGAGAAAAAGCTGCTCCTGACCTCCATCGGCTCCTCAAAGTACCTGTAAGACAAAGAGCAGAACAGGGACTCTGGGTGACCTCGCTGAGGCCACCCACGCCCGGTGTGCGGTGACTGCGTCCCCAAGCTCCCTGAAAGGGGAGGCAGCCCTGGGTCTGCCGGGTCAGACAGCAACGGAAGGGAGGCGAGTCATGGCCACAGTCACGGCCACCGTGCCCTGCTCGCCTGTGCCTTCTTCCACTGGTTTCCAGGGGCTGCAGCCTCGGGCAGGGGAAGCCTCTGTCTCTCTAGACGATCAAGGTGCCACCAAAGGATGGACAGTCACCTGCACCCTCAGCTGACTTCAGTGACTGAGGATGAGCATTGGCTGTGTATTAGGGTTGGGGGGATATTGTCACTGCAGCAAACCTAGTCTGTCCCCACAGCACGAGACATCTTTAAGTACTGCCCACTCTGGGTTAGGTATTCATTTTTGTGGCATCTGGCTCTGCTGAGTTAGGTAGTCACAAGTGACCCTGCTGGGCCTGGGATGTGGCTGAGGAGCTCCATGTTGGCAGTCCCTGCCACGTGAGCCACAGGACATGGCTTCGGTCCTAACAGTAACTTCCACATCACGTAAATGATGTTAATCGGCCTGCTCTGGAGTCAGGACACAGAGCTACGAATTGCTGAAACAGACCGAAATGGACCACAGTGCAGAGGCCCCTTCTGGCTGGAGTTTCGGCCTTGATCTGCAGACTCCGAGAGCCGCCCTTCGGTCCAGTTACACTGTAAGTAGCCGAGCATCCCCAACAAGACTACTGTCCAGAGCCCAACTCGGCTGCTGCTCAGCTTTCGGTCCTGTGCACTGAGCGAAAAATCGCAGACTGTGATGCCCTGGCCTTGAAGTTGGTTGGAGTGCCGTCCCGGACACCAAAAAGGTTGCGGGTCTGATTTCCAGTCAGGGTGCATACGAAAAACAACTGATTGCTTCCCTCTCACACCAATGTTTCTCTCTTTCCCTCTCTCTAAAAATAAATACAATCTTAAAAAAAAAGAATATAAAACAAAAAGGCAGGGACCCTGATGAGCTAAGACTTGGGCAGGGGAGGTAAGAACAAAAATACCCTTTTTTGAGGTAGAAACCAAAAAAGAGAGCAGGGGCGAATCTGCTGTTTGAGACAGTGTGAGTTTCTGTGAGTAATGGAGAGAACGCAGCATCTCCACTTCTGCCTTCTCTGGCGAGAGGGTCGTCACGTGCAAATGTCGCCAGGCCAGCCTTCTCTATGGCAGGAGAACGTGCAGCGTCCCAAGTGCGCCTGGACTCCAGCTAGAAGCTGGCCAGGCGCCTCCTGTGCAGACGGACCGGTGGGGGAGCCCGGAGCCGCGGGCTCTGCCTGGAGGGACACCCAGCCATCGCTATCCTGGGCAGAGACCAAGGCAACAAAGTGACCAGACGTCATCCCAGAGAAAGGAGGCTTGAAAGATATGGCATGTGTGTTGGCCTGGAGAGTTACTGTCAAATATGTGAGGGACTTATTTGTAAGGGCCCGAGGGAAAGAACTAAGACTGATTCAATGGGGAACTTAAAATGTACCCTTGTCAGTACCTATGGGGGGCTGGCCTCCCTTTGGTGAGGATACAGGGCAGGGAGACATATTCAGTCCCTGCACTTGTGAGGCTGGCGGGATTGAGCTCAGAAACCCAGGGAGGTTAGTATGAACGGACTGAGGAGGAGGAGGGGGAGGGGGCTGCACAGTCCCCTGGAGGGCCGAGGGCCACGGCAGTGGAGGGGGGGACAGTTGGAACTTCCAGGTTCTTCAAACCTGAGGCACTGGGACTCAGGATTTTGTAGACTAAACACCACTGTAAGGAAATAAAATGCTCATGCACATAAACCAAAGCGCTGGAATGAAGCGGCATCAGATTTAAGAAAATGACTGAGTTACTCGGAACGGCAGCCTCCGGATCGCATCCCCAAGTCCTGGCCGACTATCTCACGCTGGGTTTCCAGATCTCAGTCCTCGACGACTTGCACGTGAACTCTGCCTCCCACTCCGTCTGTCCCAACCTGAAAACCTCCCTCGGGGTCCCTCGTGAGCACACCCTGGCGTCGCACGTCCGAGTTAGAGAGACTGGGACGGCCCGCCCTCCTGAGGGCCACGCTGACGTCAGAGGCCAAGGGAGCTGTTTTAGTTTCCCCATTTTGTACTCAATATCCAACTGCACCGTCTATGTTCCGGAAATAATGGAACTCAATAAAAAACAGAAAACAAAGACACGGCTGACCTTATTTTTAACAGAAACAGCACTCGTCCATAATTCATAGCACTCGCGTTCTAATGGGCTGATGACTGATCCGGAAGCAGTGAGAGGTCTCCGAGGGCCGACCGGGCCTGCCCTCCGCCGGGCCCGAGGGCGCCCCCGCTCTGCTCACAGCGGGGCCGGCCCAGGCCCGGCCCAGGCCAGCGCTGCCTCACGACAAACAACACGCCAAGGTCTCGCTGGCAGGTATCCAGCGAGTGCAGTCTGTATAAAAACACCATCTGCTCCCAGGTTTCAAACATAAATAATTGTTTCATAGCAACAAGGGCCTTTAGGGCTGACTCTTCTGACCGAGGTCCCCAGGGGAGGAGAAGCCTGCAGCAGTCCCCACCTGCCGACCGGCCGACCGTCAGGCGAAGCCGCTCTGGAGCCCGTCGCTGGCCGGGAGCAGGGACGCTTCCCTTCCCCACTCGGCCACGCAGCAGCAGCACTGACTTCACCTGGGGCTTGTTTCCTTTACTTCCCGAGGGGCGAATGTCGAACCCACATTATTACCCAGAGTCCTCTGACCACACGCGCTCCCCTGCCACGTGTGTGGCTGACACGCTCTGCTCTGCACGCAGCTTCCACGCCAAGTCCAGCCCCTCCTTTTGTACTCCTTTTGTACTTGACCCGCAGGACAAGCATGTAGATACCTCTCGACGGCACGGCCCGGGTGTTCCTGCTGAACGAGCTGACACTGGGCTGAGGCACCATCTGCTCCCAATGGGCAAACAGGAGGCCCGCTGGTCCTCTGAAGGGCTACTGGCAAACACCATGGAGCCAGCGATTTTTTGGGGGTAAAATATCTGGACTTGAACTAATCTGAAGCTATACTAAGAGAGATTTTCAAGGATAGTCCCCTCCAGGCACTTGGACGAGCGAATAATGAGTCCACAAGTGTCAGTGTGTGAAACTGCTCCAAGCCTGTGTGACTGCCACACGACTAACTCCACAGCCCTTCAACGTGGCTGCGTGGGGACCTCCTCGTGAGCACCACCCACTAACGACAGACACACGTTCCAGTTCCCCAAACTAGCTTGAAGGTGGCCCTCGCTGTGGTCTATTGAAGTTCTAACAACAGCGATTAAACATTTAGACTGAGCCATGCGCCACCTGACTCGGGTTTACATTACCAACGGCAGGCAAAGTAACGTTAACGCCGGATGAGCACGACTCCAAACGCTCTACCTGCCTTACCCGGGACCCCCGCACTCCCTGGGGAGGGGGCCGCAGCCGGTGTCCCAAACTTCTGGACGAGGACGCTGCAGCGCGGAGAGGTTCAATAACTTGGCCGAGGCCACACTGTCATGAAGTGGCCGAGCCAGGTTTCAGACCCAGGTCGCCTGGTCCCTGGGCCTACACGCTCAGCCCCTGGCTTCCCAGCTGCCACCCATACTGCCAGTCATACCCCAAGTTGACTTGGCGCCCTTTTAGCAGGGCTCTCCCGGTGCTGGTCAGGTTGCTGGAGGAACCTCAGGAGTGAGATGATTCAAGTTCAAACCCGTTCTCCCTGGGCCTGCAGCCACCGGAGCCTGATGGCCGCACTCTCCAGGGCTGGCCTCACACCTGATCAGCCGGTGAGCGCACAGGGATGGGGGAGGCTTTGTCCCAGGGGCCCTTCAGAGTGCCAACGGTGTTTTCTTAACGTTCATTTTTATATTTTTAAAAAGATTTTATTTTTTGTTTTCAGAGAGATGGGGTGGGAAGGAGAAAGAAAAGGAGAGAAACATCAATGTGCAAGAGATACATTGATTGAATGATTGCCTCTCCCGTACCTGCCACTGGGACCTGGCCTGCAACCCCGGCTTGTGCCCTGACTGGGAATCGAACAGACAACCCTTTGGTTCCCAGGCCGGCACTCAATCCACTGAGCCACACCAGCCAGGGCTAACAACAGTGTTTTTTATTACTAAATACACACACACACACAGAATTTATTTACACTCTGCGCTGCTACCCGGAGACTCCTGAGCTGGCATTCCGAAACTGGACGGCCAGCTGAAGGCTGACTATAAATGTTCCGACCCTGGAACTAAGACCGCAACTTAATATCCATCTCTGGGAGGTGGCGTGTTTCTCCTACTTCCCATTTTGGATGAACACAACTTTCCTACCTTATTATCAAATATTTTAACATTAGCAAACATTGCCCACTTACAAATGTGTCCCCAATTTTTTTCAAAGGACACCCCTGACTCCAAAGTTTTTAAAAACAGCGAAGTAAACTGAGCTGCACTAGCTCCTAATGCAAAAAAACGAATCCGTTCATGCTAATCTCTGCTTTTCAAAACAACACTTTATGGATGACTCTGAACAGGTTACCTTGAGCTGGAAGTAAAACATGACTCGTCACCATCTTCGCTGTGCTTTTTCCTCGGTTTTGCTGCGACCGGCGCTTCCTGGTCAATGGTCTGCATGTCCGCCATTGCTGAATGGGAAATGCCACTTGGAAAAACAGAGAATAAAATGGGGAAAAATTACATTAGTTTGCTCATAAAGACACTTGTGTTCACCAAGGCATGTTTTCATCTATACTCGAACAAAAATTAATTGGCTGGTGAGGTTACAAATGGGAATAATAAAGACTTTTTTTTGGCATGGACGTGAGTGAGGACCGTAACTAGTTACACAAAACACAGCCACACACTTCAGTTCCACTGTGGCGTCTGCTGAATGACAAGTCAGCCCTGTTTCCCATTTCCGAAGAATCGACTTTGGCCGTTTTCACGCTACACTGAACACCAGTGTAGAACAAACCGATCAAAGGAAAGAAGGGACACTAAGGGAACGCTGCTCGGGCTGAACCCACTCAGGACAAACCCACGCGTGGTCGGCAGCCCGGCCGCGCTCCACGTACCTCCTGCAGCTCCCGAGCCCCAGGCCGAGTCTCTCCGATTCCGCCCTTCTCTGCCCGCTCATGGTCACCTTTTCCTCTTTCTTCATTTGAATTTCAAGGTCCTTATAGGCTAATCGTAAGGATGAAACGCTGCCAGAAAACCAAATGCTCCTTAATTCAGCTGTAATTCTGCGCCCTTCGGTTAAAATACTAAGCAAAATTAAATGTGTCACATGCTTCTAGCTTTGTGCTTCTTTCCACAGGTAACAATCACGATGGCAAGTTGGCATTTTTTAAAGGTTTTTTTGGGAGGTGCTCGAGATGATTTAAGTAAGTTGTAGTCACTGTTGGTCACTGCTGAACCTACATTACTGTCCTAGTTTATGTTGCCTATTACCACATAAAAGTAACTTCCATGACCTACTACGTTTAACGATGTACACCAAAATTACTTCTACATAGAATGGCAAAAAGCAGAATTTCTTCCTGGGCTGATATTTTATTACACTCCCACAGTGCACATCAAAGTATGAGGTTAAGTTCACTGGTTTCTCCTGATTTAAGATAAAACTATGTGCGCACTTGACTTTACACACAGAGGAATTAGAAGGGTCGCCAACTGCAACAGATGCTCCGATCTCCCCGCCGGTTCCCCACAGGCCCTCTGCGTGGAACCAGGCCTCTGAGAGCGTTTAGAACAGAATGGCCACCCCTCTGCCTGTAGAGTTTTCTGTACAGCCAGTTGGAAACTGGGCGTCTCTTTGTCCAACACCTGTTAAAAACACTGCACCAAATGGTGGTAAACACGCCCCTGACGCTCACGTTTCCTTAAGCGCTGCGGCGACTTCATTTTTCATAAAGAAACTGCCCCAAGCAGCCGTAACCAGTGTTTGGTCACACCGCAAGGGAGCGACCACGCTTCAGGGCCAGAAAGCAACCTGTCCACCTCACTGGGACGGCTACGCCATCGTCCACTGTATAAAGTTGTGCAAGATGTCATGAATTCCTCATAACCAAAGTACAGTCTAAACTCCATAACAATTCAAATGCACTTCTGTGTAGTAACAGGGAATGACAACAGAGTCTCTCGCTCGGAAAAAGAAATCTTGCTTTTAGTGTTTCCTTCCTGAGTCAAGCGGGGCTTCTTCATTTTGTCTTAACTTGGCAGTTTGTTTTCTGTACTACCAGTCCTACAGGGCAGGTTACAGCAACACACTCATTTTATGACTCAGAAAAAAGTACTCTTTCAAGTATAATTTTGGAAAGGAAACACCAGATCTGTTTAAAATCAGGAACAGGTACCACTGGGGTGACAGGTTCCCCTGGAAGACGAATGGATGGGAATGAAACAGTTCTGCTGGGAGGTCGGCCTCCCTAGGACCTCGCCACAGGACGGGGGTGCGGGACGGGGCCCACGCCCACGCTCACTGGACAGGTGCACCCTGGAGGTGCTAATGCGACCAGGGACTCGTTTCTCAGAATCGCCGGAGCCCTTCCGCCTGCTCCAGGGAGGGCGTGCGGGACACTCGGCTCGAGGGTCTCGCCCTCTGGGGAGCTCGGCCTCTTCTCCCACTTCCAGGAACTGTGCACGGCCCTGGGGGGGGCTGAGACTCTGCCAGCAGGAGGGGCGAGGGCACTGCAGGGACAGTCCGGGTTCACAGTCCGGCGATGCTGGCAACAACACTGTCCCTGGCAGCCTACTGAACCGAAATAACCTTATTTCCTTTAATAAAGTTAATAACTCCATTTCCTTTAATGAAGTTAATAACTCCGTTAACTTGCGGAAGAATAACATCCTCACTTAAGGAGCACACACGCCCCTTCTCTCAGTGGGCACGTCACCCGTCTGGCAACCCAAGAGGGGTCGGGTCTGAGCGGCAGGACAGGGATTTGGGCACATTGGGAACAGGGCCCAGAAAGCTGTCAACACGGGGTTCCCCAAAGAAATCCGTAAGTACCCCAGGGCCCGTGCCTCCGCTTTCACAGCACATCCAGCCTCCCCTGCGAGCAACCTGCCCCACCCCTTTGCCTTCGGGCTGGGTGCTCTGGGATGGGGCTCCCTGAGGCAGGGGACGGACACTCGGATCTCACTTCCCTGCCCCGGGGTCACATGCCCAGCTGAGGGAAAGCTCCGTGAAGTCTGAGACAACCACCACTTCACACAAATCTTTTCAAACCGAGTTTTAACCTAAACACAGTTGAGTGCTGCCCCCTGTGTCTTAGGAGTTGAATGACAGCCGGAAACAGCAGCCGCAGGTGCCCCTGGCGCACCGGTGCTGTGGGGACCCTCTCCTCCATGCCGAGTGTGACTCAACACCTCTGAAGGGCCACTCCCTCGCAGACTCAGAGTTCAGGTTCAACGGGGTGTCATGTTATGAACTCTCTTCTCACTATTGAGATATAATTCATGTAGCATAAAACTCACCCTTTTAGAGTACATCACCTACTGCTGTTTAGTGTGTTCATAAGGTGGGGCCACCGTCACCACCACCTAATTCCAGAGCATTTTCACCCCCAAAACAAGCCCCGCACCCATCACCCATACCCTCCTTTTCCCTACCCCTGCCCCCAGCCCCGGGGCAACCACTGGCCCACCTCCTACCTGCGGCTTCACCTACTCTGGACATTTCATATATGCGGAATCACACACGTGTGGGCTCTGTGAGCGGCTTCCCACGCTGAAGCACGAGTGAGTGCGCTGCTCCAGTCTGTGGTGGGCAACATCACACTGCACAGACGCACCGCATTGTTCACCCACTCATCCGCTGCCGGACACCTGCATCGTTTCTACTTTTTGGCTACAGGGATTCATGCTGCTTGAACGTTCACGCACAAGTTTCTGTGTGAATGTACGGACATATGTTTCCATTTCTCTTAGGAGCAGAACTGCTGGGTCATACCTTATGTTTAACTTTTCCCCTTGCCACCAGCAATGTATAAGGGTTCCAGTTTGTCTCCCTTCTCGCCAACACTTGTTACTGTCTGTCTCTCGGCTGTAGCTGCCTAGTGACTGGAGTGGTGTCTCACTGTGCGTTCTCCTAGTGACTAATGGTGCTGAGCACCTTCCACGTCCTAACATGTGCTGACACACCTGCCTCTCCCTTCCCAGTGAGGCCGTCCCTGTCCTGCCCCACAGCCAGGAACCGTCACTGCGTCCCCTTGCCACTGTCTCTCTCTCTTCCAGACCACACATCACTGTGATATTTGTTTTTGTAAAACTAAATTTCACATTACCCTCCTCATATCCATGTAAAAATAAGTGGCACTAGCAAAGTATCTCTGCGAGTTGCTTAATTAATAGTTTCGGTCCCTACAACCGTGTTACTAGAACTAAGTTAAACTTACATCGATTCTTCCTTAGATGCTGTCCTGGCCAGGTCTTCCTGCTCCTTCATTTTATCCACAGCTTGGGCTTGTTTTTCTATTTCATTAAAGCATGTGTTCGTCAGTTTCTGGGCTCCCAAACTTCCTTTTTTGGCCCCGAGCTGGAAGATATATAGGATCACATCTCTCCAAACTGTCTGACAGCTTTGTGGCAACAGCTACCGTCTGTGGCAGGCACCTCACACCTGCTCTTCCGTGGTCCCCAGGACGCCAGGAAGCGGGCACAGGGCTCCTTCCCAGTGTTCAGAAGAGGAACTAAAACTCATGCAAGTGATCACACAGCCGGTTAGTGACGAAGGCAGGGTTCAAAGCCTGGCACCTGCCCCCAGGGCTCGGCACAAGACAACCCCCCACCCCCACGAGGCGACGCTGCAAACGCAGCAACAGGGGAATCTCCTGGGAGCCTCTGCTGGGTTTTTGGAATTTTTTCATCAACAGGAGACATGTTGAGCACATTCTAGAAAATATTCCCTTGATGTGACATCACCTCGTCCAGCTAAACACAGAGTCTTTATCCAGACTCATTACATGTAATAGGCTCAGAATAAACAAAAGTGACATGGGTGGCTTTCTCAAGTGCATAAGCTACTTAGGGCTGAACTACCGGTGTTTTATACAACATACTCACTCCTTTTTTAGCTTGACTTGGTTTCTTTTTTATGATAGAAGAAACCTCTGTCAAAGAACAAAAAGTAGAAAGTCAGACAGATTGAAATATATATTTTTATATTTCTAGTGTTTCTCTTTAAAAATCCTAAGATACTGTACATTACTATTTAAGACACTACAACCATTTTCCACATGAGGTTGTCAACCGGGACAAATGCAGGCCGCGGCAAGAGCGAGCTCACGGCCGTTCACGTGGAACATACGGTAACTACCGAGTAACAACACACGAATAAATGTCCTGTGCACTGCAGCCCTCCTCTGTCGCCACCCTGTGCACGAGCTCATTTCACAAGAGCAGAGCTTCCCCGAGCTGGAGAGCCCGGTGTCTGCACACAGTGTCCACGCTGCAGAGAAATAAGGAGCCTGGGCCGGCTGTCCACCGCTTTCTTCGGGAGTGTGTCCGTGCATATTGGAACGCACTCTCCCACTGACCTCTAGCCTTCAAAAACTTTCGAAATCCATTTAAAATACACAGTTAGCCAGGCATTATGAATACAACTAAGCAGTAAGTGATATGCTTTTCCACCTTCAGTTATATACCGATTTTATCATATTAATTGATGAGACATAAAACATCGTATTATTTTAGTATGAGTACTGTCTAAATTGCACAAAATATATAACGGTTTTAGAGAAAGTTTCTAAAATACTGATTTTTTTGGAAAACTTTAATCATAGAATATATATTTTGCTTTTAGAATCATGTGTAAGAGACTTGGTAAAAATAAAGTCTTAATTTTTTTTCACAAAGCTGAAAATGTGCTTTACTAGGAAACGATAGCGTAAAACCACAAACAACAAAAGATTAAAATCTTTAGCCCCAGTGAGAGAATAGCATCATTCCACTTCAAGTAGGAAAGAGAGACCCAGGAACGTCTTTCCTTCCACGGCTTCCAGGCTTGCGTTGCAGAGCCCACAGGCCTGCCCCAGGGCCCTCCAAGTCTCTGAATGCAAAGACCCGAAACACTTCTAATGGCTGTTTCTCGCTAAAGCAGCTGCTTTCCAGTGAATACATGTGATAGGCACCCATCTCAGATTATACTTCCCTGGTAACGAGAAACTAAAGACTAAGTTCACCTGTTATGAACTCAGACAGGGGAGAGAGCACTACGAGCCCCCTGAGTAAACAGGATTGGGGGGCCGGGGGCCGCCCTGACCTCTGCTGATGCTGGGAACGCTCACCAGCCCCACCTTAAACTGCAGAGCGCCAGGCCCCAGGTGTCGCTGCTTGGCACAGCTGCTGGGCCGGCTGAAACGGAACAGCTGAATGAACTCTCGTGAGGAGATTAGATATCAATAACCCTGGTGCCACGTACTCTATAAATTCTAGGCAGAATGCAAAGGCAAGATTCATTTTTTTCTTAATGAATCTCACTCTCTAAATCAAAATATCCTTTTAAAAAAGAAGATTTTATTTATTTGTTTTTAGAGAGGGGAAGGGAGGGAGGGAGAAAGGGAGAGAAACATCAGTGTGTGGTTGCCTCTCACATGCCCCCTACTGGGGGCCTGGCCCCCCAACCCAGGCATGTGCCCTGACTGGGAATCGAACCAGCAACCCTTTGGTACGCGGCCGGCATTCAACCCAGTGAGCCACACCAGCCAGGCCACATGGAATATTCTTGTGCACACTACCTAAGGCAGCCTTGGTCGGTATGTTGAGACCTTCCACACTTGGTCCTTGCTCTGGTCCACCTGCAAGTTAAAAATACTGATATTAATGCAGAAAATGTACTCATCAAACTTGCTTTTGAATATGCAATATATTCAATTTGCAGAGTACTACATATCTTATCCATTTTTTTCAATGAGTCCCTTTCTTTTTAGCTCCATATCCTACTTCATCATTATAAGAATTTTGATTTAAAAGTGCATTTTTTATCCAGTTGCTTTATAGAATAAAAATCTCAGTGGTCCCCCTAATTACCGCCCTTCAGAACTCTACCTTACGACCCCCGTTTTGAAGTGCACTGCGCTGAGAGAGCTGGCGTACACTTGGAGCACACGCCCAGCACACGGTAACATTCGGAAATTCTAACGCCAATTATGGCGACGACAGAAACCTGCATTTTCCGTTGCCAAGCAATCTGCCCTGTTTTCTAGTTCACCAAAAAATGATCCTGCTTAGGAACTCTATTAAAGTCTTTACTTAGAAACATTCTGCCATTTTAATTGTATTCCTTTAAAAATGGGTAAACATAATGTAGTATATTAGTGCAATGGAACGTTATTTGGTCAGAAAGTAAATACTGACACGTGCTACAACACGGATGAACCTCTAAAAATTATGTTAGGCACCAGAATCTGGTGACAAAAGACCATCTATTGTCTGACTCCGCTTATGTGGAATGTCCAGAGCAGACAAACCCTTACAAACAGAAGCAGCCTGGAGGTTGCCAGGGGCTGGGGGTTGGGGCAGGAGAGAACAGGGAGTGACTACTAACGAATATGGGCTTTTTTGGGGGGGTAAAGTTATATTTTATTTATTTTGAGAGAGAGAGAAAGAGACACCAATTTGCTGTTTCACCTATTCATTCACTGGTTGACTCTTGCATGTGCTCTGCCTGGGGATCGAACCCACAACCTTGGCATATGTGGACAGTGCTCTCACCAACTGAGCTACCCAGCCAGGATGGTGTGGGGTTTCTTTGTGGGGAGATGAAAATGTTCTGGAATCGGTGATGAGGGTGGCACAACCTTGTGAATATACTTAACTCCACCGAATTGCATACTTCAAAGGGTGAATTTTATGGTACGCAAATTATATGCCGACAAAGCTGTCGTTTAAAGAGTGCCATGCCCAACAGAGGAAATGCAACTGTTTCATTTTTACAAATATTTAAAAGGTAAACTCTAGTTAAGGCTTTTAAATCTGCAAAGGAGGATGAGGCAGAGCGATGACACCCTGCAGAGACAGAGCCGAGCAGGCCTTCACCGAGCACCTCCTCTGGGCTGGGCCACGAGCGGGGAACAGCAGCGAGTGAGAACACACCGGCGCGGTGCTCAAGGCCTCATATCCTGTTTGTCAAAACTGTGTTATTCCCCTCTTTACAGTGCAATCCTTAAGGCTGCGCCGGTCACCGAGTGCTGACCAATGCAACTCTGGGTTAGACCTTGAGACAGCAGTTTCCCTGACAGCTCCTTAAGTAAAACTCTGGCCCCGGCTGGTGGCTCAGTTGGCTGGAGCGTCGAATTACACACCAAAAGGTGGCAGGTTTGATTCCTGGTCAGGGCCCACACCTAGACTGTAGGTTCAATCCCTGGTATGGGAAACAACTGATCAATGTTTCTCTCTCATGTCGACGTGTCTCTCCCTCCTTCCCCTCTCTCTAAAATCAATAAACATACCCTCAGGTGAGAATTTTTAAAAAACAGACAAGAAAAATTCTGGATGGAGAAGAGACAGGAAAAGTGCTGTTACAGGTGCAAAAGGAAGGGGATTCTAAACAATAAAACCTTTTAGGAGAAACTCTTTAGGGGTTAACTTAAAAATATTTACAAGGACAAATCCTGTTCTGCATTTAGTTACTTCTGTTTTCTGGTCCTAAAATGAACGGAGACACCTGGACGTGACAGGTTATGTGGGTCTCACCCAGCAGGTAACCTTCACTGTCAGAAGGCCTTTTATGCTACTAAGTTATAAAGGTGACGATATTCAAATGACCGTCTGTATTTCAGAAGCTACAAACCCCAGCCTTTCCTCTGTCAGTCAGCAATGTCAGAATCTTGGAGCTGAGACTCCATCAAGGAGGCGGCCACATGATGGCCGGGTCAGAGTCCCACCCCAAGCCCAACGAGAGCAAACACAGGGAAGAAGTGCAGGGCCAGGGCGGCCGCGGGGCAGTGGAAGTGAAAGAAACCCCAAAGCCCCCCCCACCTGGATGTGTCCATGCCGTCTCTGCAGACATGGGGGGCCACGTGCATAAAAACGAATGTGAAAAAACTCACAGGTTGCAAACCATACGAAACCAGTCAGAGTTCTTTGCATATTGATGAACTTTTTGTCTATATATGAATTGCATTTTTTAAAAAAAAGATATTTTTAGAGAGGGAGGAAGAGATGGAGAGAAACATCAATGTGCCAGAGAAACACGGATCAACCTAAGTGTGTGCTCTGACCGTGATTCAAACCGGCAACCTTCACTTTGACCTTCACTTTGTGGGACAATCGCAAACAAGTGAACCAGGCAGGTCGGGGCTGAACTGTAAATTTCGATCGCGTGTCTTTAAAGGACTACTCCAGGCCACCAGTGGTCAGATTACTAATCTCTTCCCTTCATGAGCTCGGCTACGCAGAGAAGGGCTGCCCCACTCCAGGGCGGCAGAAAATCTTCACCCGTGTTTCTTCCAATACTCTCGTTATTTTAGTGGTTTATGTTTAAATCTTTTATCCACTTGAATTTAGTTTGGTATAAAGACTGAAGAAACTTTATTATTTTTTCCCAAAATGCTAGACCTCTGTCCCAACTCCGTTCGCTGTTCCCCACGATGCCAGACGTCCCTCCTGGCTCACGGAGAAGCCCACTCCCAGGCCAGCGCCGTGAGAGCCAGGCCGGCTGACATCTGCCGGGTGCTGGAACCTCGGACACGCCTGCCCTCCCAGCTGGAGTGCCAGACGAGTGGAGTGACTTCTTTCCTTCACAGCATGCTCCCTGGCCCCTCTCACAGACAGGCAGTGACACCCTCAGCCCTCCACCCACAGCCTCACCAGAAGCTGCCTGGTACTGTCCCCCAACCTTAAGCCTGGTGACTGCTCATTCCTTCCTGTTACACTAAGTCCCTTCAAGTGGTCCCAGCGCAGCTGGTCTGAGCCAGCACCTCTCCGGACGCCACACGCTAGGCGTTCACTGCTTCGTCGTCAGTGTTATGTCCCCGCTGTCCACTTCCACTAACATGCTGGCTAACAGGACACTCAACTTTAAATCAGGGAAAGCTGATGTCTTGATCCATGTTACTCACATAAATGGTTTTTAAATTTACTTTTAAACTTATTTTTAGATTTAATCTTTCCCCCATTACCATTTAGTCCCCTTATTCCATCCTCCCATTTTTAAATGTAAGCAATTGATGTAAGTATAATTATAACAATACAATCCTATAATAAAGTCACCAAATGTGAATCATTAGGTATCAAATGTTATTTTCTTATTATAAAACAGATACTCGTTATAAAAGTTTAGCCACTTCAAAATTGTATCCAGTAAAAAGTACAAATCCTCAGCGATCTCCTTCTGCGGGTAAGAATCTGGCGTGTATCTTCCAGAAGGTTTTGTGTGCTCATGTTTTTGTTTCTATTTCTTATGAAAATGAGGTCCTGCTGCACGTTCAGGGATCTACCTTGTCGGCCCTGCAGTCTGCCTCCCTTTCTAAGCGTCTCAGAGCACGCCCCTGGCCCTCAGGGCAGCGGTCTGCGACAGCCCCCAAGGCTACCTTCGTTATTTGCTGGCGGAGGATCCTCACTCCTGGGCGCTGAAGATGGTTCTGGGCCTGCTGAGGCCCACCCTGTGCCAGTCACCTGAAAAGAAGTGAGAAAAGCCATAAAAACACACATCAAAATGGGGAAAAAGCAATCATTTAAATAGTCACCTTCTTAGTACCTGGATTAGTGGGAAGAATAATATTGTATTAAACGTGTCTAATCTTAAATCTCTACTTCAATGCTCAAATTCCTTACTTTCCTCCTTTTTAAAAAATAAAATCTTTATTATGCAATAATTTCGGGTTGACACAGAAGATGCTTAAGATACTTCTAGAGTTCCTTCCTTTGGCCCTGGCTTCCTTTAATGTTAACATCCCCATGGTGCATCCTTCAAAACTAAGAATCACGATGGCACATTACTGGCCAAACTTCATTTGGATTTCCCCAATGTCCCCTCCGACGTCCCTTTTCCGCTCCAGGACCCCGCACCACACTTGTCACTTCTCCGCAGCCTCCCCGGTGTGTGTAAGAGTTTCTCAGTCGTTCCTTGTTTTTCATGATCCTGAACTTCCGACAGCCACTCATCAGGTATTTTGTGGAATGCCCCTCAGCCTGGGTTCGTCTCTCATGCTAAGACTAGACTTGGGGAAGGAGACCCACAGGTGAAGGTGCCCTTCTCACTCCCTCACATCGACACGACTGCACGCTTGTCCTCCATCACGCACGTGTGTAACTATCGACAGTAAACATGAACTCCTACTAACATCTCCAACTGCAACCCACACCAAACTATTCATTTCCCTCCTCTCTTTAGCCCATCATTTCCATTCTTAAAATTTCTCAGCTACTAATCGTGGATATTGTGTCTAGTTCTAAATTAAACAATAGCAAAGCTCACAATAGACAATAGAACACCTTATCTTTTTCATTGTTTTCTGTTCCCCTCTTTTAAAAAAAATTATTATTTTTAGAGAGGGAGGGAGGGAGGGAGGAAGACAGGGAGAGAAACGTTAATGTGTGGTTGCCTCTTGTGCACCCCCTACTGGGGACCTGGCCTGTAACCCAGGCATGGGCCCTGGCTGGGAACTGAACCTTCGACCTTTTGGTTTGCAGGCTGGTGCTCAATCCACACCAGCCACACCAGCCAGCTGTTTCCCTCTTTTTTTGATAACTATTTCTGGTAACTATTGGCTGTATTAATAACATGCATATGCAAATTATGATAGCAAAAAACCAAGGCCTAGCAGTTTATATAAAACTATACACATTTTTTCAACTTGGAAAATAACTAAAGAGTGGATTGAGCAGCAGTTAAGAAATGGTGCTCCCTCCCCAGCGGGACTAGGAGGAGGCAGAACGGCTGACAACAGCTGAAGCTTTAAGATGGAGGTCGGCATACGCTTCCTTAAAGGACCAGTCAGTAAATATTTTAGGCTTCCAAGGCTTATAGTCCCTGATCCGGTGACTTTGGGAAAATGAGTGAAGCCTTGAGAAGCATAACACGTACCTCAGGGGAAGCGTGTGAAGCGAAAAAGTCCTCCTCCTTGGGTACGGGGGACAAGGGCGGAACGGCGCAGCTATCCAGCCACAGCTAGAATGAAACATGAAGCACGTCAGCATTTACCCCGGCTTTGAAGGTCTTACTGATGCTCTCCACTCCTCCTCCAGAGACCCGTTTGCTAAAGACGGGTCCTCTCCGTTGTTTTAAGGTCAGCAACAGGCTGTGCGGGACCCCCAGCACACTTCAGGGACGGCCCAATGCAGCGAGCCCTGCTTCCGAGGCCCGAGGAGGCCGGAAAGGGCTTCAGCCCTGAGCCCTGGTCCCAAAGTTTGGCCGAGCCTCCTCGTCTGTGGCGCCCTTCCTCGCAAATTCACTACGATCTACTTGCAGCGCCCCCAAAACAATTCCCATTCCCAGCAGTGAGGGACCTGAGCCACCCCAGGTGTTCATTCCCAGCTGAGCGGAGCAAGGCGACACTCGGCCATGTTTCAGTTCCTGCTGTAAAGCAAGTGCCCTTTCCGTGGCCACGTTGTGCCACGTTGTCACATTTTGTGCCTTCCGTGGGAGGTCTCATGGTTTAAGATGGCCTCGCGCACACACAGTGGGGGCGCGCTGCCCAACGCCCCAGGCACCAAGGCCGTGAAGCACCCGGCTCGGAGGACACCGTCCTTGCCGGGCCTGAGCCCCGGTGCTGCGGGCTGAGCGCCGCGTTAGAGCCACGACCCTGTACTAAAGGGGGCGTCCCGACAGAAAAGCACAGGTAAAACCTGACTGGGTGAGGGGTGGGGGGCAGGGGCGGGCGACGACGAGAACAAAGCGACACAGCGACGCGGCGCCAGGCTAAGAGCAGCGCGCTGAGACATCCCACCATCGCTGAGACATCCCACCATCGCCTCCTCTACGCAACGACACGACCGCCGAAGGGGACGCCCGACCTGCGCAGGGCCGCGCTACGTCAGCACCGTGCTTACGTCAGTGCCATGCTTCCGCGTGGCCTGCGAGGCCAGCGACTTGATTCTGTCCCTGTAGAGCTGGGCCGCACGACTGTTGTACTTGGCGTTGGTGTCGCTGGTGGCACAGCCGTGCTGGTGGAAGAAGGACGCCTGCGGGGGGGGGGGGAGAATGCGCGGTTACTGGCAGTACTGCAGCGCGGCGCACGCAGCGACCCAAACGCTTCATCACGAAGGGTTTTTAAAGTACTAGTCAAACCCAAATCACATAAACAACAAAAAAATTTTAAGTAAAATTTTCCTTGTAGAAGGGAATACTTTCCACAGATGTAACACTGGTATTTTGGTAAAACTGGACATAAGCCTTGAGTTGCAAAATAAAATAGCTGGCCTTCATGTCTCGAGGAAACTGCCTCTGTCACTCTGTGGTCTGGAGGGACGCTTTCCACTCAGGACTACTTTTAATTCACGAGAAACCCGCTTTAATTTGGATTCCACTAAATTAGAATTTTTGACAAATGGGTTAGGAGCTATGCCAGCCTTCGCCTTGTTCAGCACTATTTAGTCATGATCAGAGACAGGTGAGGTGACAAATGCTTGAACAATTAGAGGAGACTGCTTCCGGCCCCTTATAAGGGTCCGCGCACAGACACGAATTACAGAAGTCATGTCTTAATTAAGGAAGCATTCCAAAACCCTGTATGAGCACTCCTTTTATTGACCCAGTTTAATCAGTAATGGTACTGCGCGCTGACATGTACCAGATCCTGGGCGATGTTCTTCGGGCAGCGACCCATTATTAGATCCTCACACAACACCACCAGCTGTCACTGTTACCATCTACACCGTGCAGGTGGGGAAACTGAAGCCCAGAGAGGTCCAACAACTTGACCAATGTCACGCAGGTACGTGAGAGGCAGAGCTGGCGTTCGAACTCAGGTAGGATGGTTCCAACTCCACTGCCGAGTGGAACGGCCAATGGCCTGACCCGTCCCCACCCCAAACCTCCGCCACCCCGGCTGGCTGGGGATGAGAAAGCTGCTCTCTGGAGGTTGGCGGGGGCTCTGCAACTGTGGGTAAACTTAGAAATAAGGACACATAAAACCAAACCCACAGTATTGGAACAAGTTTGTCGGTATCATGAAAATGAGCATGTGATTCTAATAAGATGCTTAAAATATTAAGGATTGGATGCATTTTTAAAAAAGATTTTATTTATTTTTAGGGAGAGGGGAAGGGAGAGAGACAAACATCATTCTGTGAAAGATTGGCTGCTTCTCATCTGGACCACAACCCAGGCACGTGCCCTGACTGGGAATCAAACCTGCAACCTTTCAGATCACAGGCTCAATCCGCTGAGCCATACCAGCCAGGGCGGATTGGATGCATTCTTAATGAGGCAAAACTGTTTCTTGGAAAGTGAAAAAAATCTTACTTATTACAGTGGTTTGTGACCCTCCAATGCTCACCCTTACCAGACAAAATCATATTCCTTGGTATTTAATTTCCTCTCCCTAGGGAAATTAAACCCAATTTAAATTTAAGATAATCTGACTTTAAGTTTTCTGTTGAGGGAACAATAATGAAAAAAGTTTGAGAAACACTAATCCAAAGGAATCTGGTATTTTGAAAACTACTATTTAGATTTATAATTTTAATTTGAAGTATAAAATTGATGCTAGATGTAGTTTTTATTTTAAGTGTACACAAATTTGATTTCTCATACTTTGAATGTTAAATGGCATGTCTATGGGAATCCTATTAATTAAACCTCTACCACTTGGTGTTATAAATAGGGTATCGGCCCCGGCTGGTGTGGCTCAGTGGATCGCATGCCAGCCTGCGAACCAAAAGGCTGCTGGTTCGATTCCCAACCAGGGCACATACAGGGTTGTAAGCCATGTACCTGGGGGGGAGTGTGTGCGAAAGGCAACCGATTGATGTTTCTCTCCTCCCTCTTTTTCTCCCTCCCTTCCCCTCTCTCTAAAAAAAAACAACTTTAAAAAAAATAAATAGGGTATCAGTGCTTTAGGTGTTTTGCTGGCTAGACTTGTAAGGCTTCCAATTTAGAGCCTGAGAAGTCAGACACATTAAATCTGTAAATGAAGTTTAAAAAGTTTGAGGATCCTCAGTTAGGGTTCTAAGTAGGGTTTAATCTGCTCTTTTGTGTACAATTATAAACTGGCCATTTAATTGGTTATTTTTTGCACAGAAATTAATGTTTGTAAATATATATTTATGTACTGTATTTCGAGAACAGGCTTTATTAAAAATTTGTAGGTTTCGTAAACTAAATACGATTCAGGTGTAAGCAGCTGTAAGCATTCCTTCCCATCTAAGCACAGAAGTCACCCCTGCGTGTTGGGAACCACGGCCATAAGGAGGCCTCCCAGTCCCTCTGTATCACCGCCTTCCGTTCACGCTTTCTTCCCAGCACTGCCCCACTAAAAGTTCTTGTTTATTTGCTTCTTTAGTGGCTCTCTGTTTCTGTCTGTAAGAGAGGGAATCTACTCGTCTTGTTCATCACTAGGTCCCAGCACCTAGCCCAAAGCCTTGTGTTTATTAGGCATTTAGCAGATGGCTGGACAAACAAGTCAACCGGGTGGTCCGGCTCCAAAGCCCCTCACGCCTTTCCTTGTCCAGTAGGCCTCCCGCACAGTGCGGACGCTGAACTTCTTTACAAGTGGAACACACATTCACACAGAAGGAAAACAAGTCTGAGATGAACTTACTGCATTAGCATTTCCTCCAACTTGCATGCATCGCAACTGAAACCAAGACCAGTTAGAATCCAACTCTGTAGATCTAAATGGAAAGAACATTCTTAAATGTTAATACTTTTCTTCCCCAGAATCAAGCCGCTAAACTTTTGAGAACAAGGTTTCCTTGGTCATCAGGACCCTGAAGAACTCTAAGTTCATGTTCACAGTGACACATGCTTCCAGGTGGCAGGGGGGCTCCAAAGTGTACGACCGTTGGTCCGGCAGCTCCTGGCCCCTCTCACCCTTCCTGGAAGCCAGGGCTCTGGAGGCCCCGACCCCCAGCTCCCTGCACGCAGGCCGCAGGCAGGCCACGCAGGCCGCAGCACTCTGGCGGGACTGACTCCGGCGGCCACACCCTCTAGGGGACGGAATACCACAAGCTTCCTGGGGCTGGTGCAATGACGCTGCCTCTGCCTCACACCCTTAGTGGGTCACCACCTAAAATTAGGAGAAGTCTCTACTCGGAAGTAGATGTTCTGTGTGGATTTTTCCAGGGGTCCAGTTTGACCCGTAGTAGAGCCTGGAGGATGCTCATCATTTCACCACCAGGTGGAAGGGACCCGCCCACCAGCACCACCACGAGGAAGGGAAGAAAACTCAGGATTGAACGCTCTTGAAGTGAACGCTGCAAGTGCCTCCCACCCCCCACACCTGAAACCCAGGATCACCTCAGAGCAAGGTAAAGGCACTAAGTGTGCTTCCCAACAATAAAAACTCAGCCCTGGCCCGTGTGGCTCAGTGGATTGAGTGTTGGCTTATAAACCGGAGGGTTTACCAGTTCAGGTCCGAGTCAGGGCACACGCCAGGGCTGCCAGCCAGGTCCCCAGTAGGGGGTGCTCAAGAGGCAACCACACATTGATCTTCCCCCTTTCTCTCTCCCCTCCCCTAAAAACATAAATAAAATCTTTTAAAAAAATGTCACCAAGTGATCAGTGTGAAGCAAGACAGGACAGCATGACAATGTTGGATCTTTGTGTTGAGTCCATAGGAGCAAAAAGCAAGGCCCTCCTGTATCCGCGACAGTCTGCCCGTGTTTACTGTGAATTCCCGAGTCGGGGCGGCTGTAGGTGGACCCCCTCAAATGGGCAAGGGAGGAAGAAAAAGGGCTTTAGCCCCACCCAAAATTTCGTGTTACGCTGCCCTTCCATTTACCAATTTCTATGCCTGTTTATAACATTGAACCTTTGTGAACGTTAAGATGCTATTTTAAGGCCAACAGCTACCTCAGGATGAATAGTGATATGTGTTATTATTACATATACACATGACATATCTGCTTCATGGTGACGTAAAAGTAAAAGTTAAGCTGTACTGGATAAGAAACATATTTCTCAAAGATAATAATAAACCTTTTGGAATTTGATTACCAAGCTCCGGGATAACATTATGGATCTGGTTCTGAAGTCCTTTCTATGAAAGATCTTGCTTAGTCACCACATTGTCATGATCCCTCTCCCCGCAGGTGGTGCGAGGTGGCTGTGCCCACCCCACTGGTCACGGGTGGCCATTAACAGCACAGCCCGGGAGACAGGCCGAGAGACCGAGAGTCTCCGCCTCGCCGTTCCAGCCGCGTGACCCTGGAGGAGTTATCTCAACCCCTGCGCCTCGCTCTCCTCGTCTGTGAAGCAGGGACACGGACAGGCTCATCCCGTTTGCCCTTGTAGAAATGAAACATGCCACTCTCTGAAAAGTGCCTGGCTCCTGGCAAACACCATACGGCTAAAAAGTCTCGCCATCACCCTCATCGTCACGGTAACCCTGTCACACTGAGCTGTATGGAAGCAGCCAGCTCCCGGGGACAGGCGTGTCCCCAATTTTTCTCTCACACACCTGGTACAAGCACATACAGGCACCTGACTTGAACTAGGGCTAGAACCGCAGCTAAACGTCCTCAGACTTGCTAACCTGGCTTACCACTTTTAGTCCTAAACTATCTTTGCCAAAATAAAGCCAAACATTGTTTATATGTTTCTTAGAAATAAAGATAAAAAAGAAAAAACAACCTGAATTGTTCTTGAATTGAGCGGACAGGGATTCTCTCGCACATACTGGAATTTCAAATGAAATGTTGCCCTGGCTGGTGTGGCTCAGTGGATTGAGCACTGGCCTCCAAACCAGAGGCCAGGTTCAATCGAACCAGAGGTGCTGGTTCGATTCCCAGTTGGGGCACATGCCTGGGTTGCGGGCCAGGTTCCCAGTAGGGGGCGCCTGAGAGGCAACCACACACTGATGTTTCACTCCCTCTCTTTCTCCCTTCCCCTCTCTAAAAATAAATAAATAAATAATCTTAAAAAAAATAAAACAAAATGTTTTGATGACAGTGGACTCTGAATACAGCCAACCTGCGAAAGAAACTTGAAATTCTCCTCGGTGCCGTTCCTGCACAAGGAGGTGGCTCAGTGTAGGCTGTTTCCTGTCTTCAGTTTAGATGAGGTGGGAAAGGTAAAAGAATCCGAGTGCTAAGAAAAGAGTGAGCGGCAAAAATAACAAAAGTTGAAGGATGAGTTGTCACTTTAACCCAATAGCTCCAGTTAACCAGCGAGGTAAAGGTAAGGACAGCTTTTGCTTTCCCACAGCCTACGTGACCCTTACATGGGTCAAGATACAAGGTTTTTCCCGATAAGCTAGTGCTTGTAATTATTTTAATCAGTGAAAAATGTTCAAAGAACAGCCCTCTACCTCTTAAAACATAAAAATAAAAGATGCTGAGTACCCTTATCATCCTTGACTTTGCCTCTCAACAGTCATTTTTAACCGTTGTTTCAAATCATTTACAAGCACTGTGATTCATACAGTTATATTTATCTGACTTCCACAAGGCTAGTGATTAAACCCGGGAGAGCCCAGACAGACCCCGCTGTCCAGCCTCCCCAGGCTGCCGGTCAGCCCTTCCCTCCACCGTAGACACGCCCGAAAACCACGCACTCCTGGAAGGGCCGGAACTGGGGCGCAGCTCGGTGGTGAGGCGGAGGGAGGGCCAGGTTTTAGGGGCGGGGCTTGGCAGAGAAGAGGAGGAAAGGACACAGGGAAGAGAGACAGACAGACGACCGCTCCCACGGCACCCGGAGTCCACGCTTCCTGGGCTCTGGGCACAGCAGGTCTCCGTGTTAACCGGTAACAACCGATCGGGGCGTGGGAGGGAAGGACACTGGAAATAAACTTGCCCGGGCAACGGAATCCCTCAAGATTTAAAAGAGGGAAGGATAGGACCGTGTATTCAAAATACTCTGAAACTCGCAGCTAAGAAAAGACAAGAAACGGCACTCTAAAACCAGTAAGAACACAGAGAAGAACTCTCCTCTCCAGACAATCACCTACGGAGTTACAGGGCTATAAATCGTTGGCACATCAGGCCTTCACAAACTGATTTCTGGAAAAAAAACTCGGGAAAATTTTAAATTAATATATTAAAAAAGAAAATAATGTTGCTGCTATTACTATTTAGTTTTTATGCCATCATACAAAACATCTCAGCAATTAGAACAGACTTTATTCTTTAAAAACAAATGTTCTTCATGGTCATTGTATTGTAGCAATATTCCTGAAATCATAATAAGATAAAATGCTGCTGCCATGCCAAGTAGCCTGCCTAGCTGGCTCCCTCCCTGGGAGAGAAGTGGCAGGGACGTGGGGGACCTGGTTGGAGGTGGCCAGCAACCAGAGGGATCCCGCGTGGCCGCTCCGGGTGCCCAGCCACGGCCCACAGCTGCCCAAGTGCAGGCCTCGCTAGCCTTGCAAGCCCTGAGTTCCGCTGGAATCCTTGGATTGTTTCTTTTATCATCTCAACTTCTTCTCTGTCACCCAGGCACCTGCCACCTCCCACTGGACCTGGGGCTCTGCATGTGTGTGTGGGTGGCGCCTGTCTCCCTGGCCCCACCCAGGCCTCCACCCCCCACAACCGCGTTGGAGTGGAAGACAGGAGCTTGCCAGCAGGAGCCAGTGCAGCCCAAGACTTCAGACGAACAGAGAAGCAAGACGTTCCTATTACAAGTATTTGTATCTGCTAGTAAACCTCACACAGAAACCATCACTCAGCTGTGGGGTTTTAGGGGCCTGGAGCCGGGGCCGTGGGCCCACGCGGGAGGGCACTGGCTCCCTGGGGATGGGGGGTGGGCAGCCCACAGCCCCTCCTCCCCTCCTCCCTGTCTCAGCAGGACTCCCTGGTGCTGCTGTGTCACTAGAAAAGCACAGGGGAGAGGAAGCACCGTGTCAGGCCCCGTCTTGACTGCTCCACACCACGGCCTCCTGGCTCGGAAGGGGCGCTCCCTACAGGCAACGACATTGGACGTGACGTTTTCCCAGTCTGCTTAATATGACTGGAATCTCCATAACTCACAGCCAACCTCTCGTTTCCCTTGATGTCAAAGGACACGTAAAGGAAAAAGGGGAAAGAGACCCATGTAACCCCTCCCACCCCCCAATGGGGACAGAGTCACTCACCGAATAAAACTCAAGTGAACACCAAGCGACCGGTGGGACCCCGAGCAGTCGATGCAGAGAAACACCCCGTAGGTTATGCTCGCCCAGCTGGGATTCTTGGCACTGCAGTCAAAACACGCCTGCAAGAAAATTCGAAAACTCAACTATTAATTACTTTCTATGAGCCAAATGAGCCTTCCCACGGGACACCATACATGATTTAGCTTGGAAACTGCTTGACCTTCACAGGTCAAACTGGTTAACAGAAACTATCTCAACCAGATTTGTAACCCCCAAATTCCAATTTATTTTATTATTATTATTGTATTAATTGAGCTATATTGGTACAAGACATTCATTATACAGTACATTATATATTGTTATGAATCTATTACACCACTACGCAGTATGGGTAGGGAGAACTCAGGGGCGTATCCGCTCAAACACTGCCCATCCTTGAAGCATTAATGGGACTCCTACCAGTCACCTAGATGAACACTAGCTGGGCATGTCCCTGGCTGAGAACTCGCGAGGCCTTTCCATCCTCCGAACGGCGGCTCTCTAATGGATGGCGGGCACTGCACGCACTTCCGTCCTCAGCCGGAGGAGGGTGCTGGCCAGACTCCACGCTGTTCCCAGTGACCCACCCCCACCATGGCCACACCCTTGTGTACTTCCCCACCCTCACTGCTCCTGGGTGATCTGTGTGACCGTAACATGGCAGGAATTCTTTGTCACTTCCAGATTGTGGGTCATAAAAAACACTGACTTCCTTCTCCTCTTCCCTGTCCCCCCGATTTCCTTTCTTCCTCCTCCTCCTCCTCTTCTTCTCTCTCTCTCTCTCTCTCTCTCTCTCTCACTCTCTCTCTCATCCCTGGCTCTGGGGAAAGCCAGCTGCCATGGCCTGAGGACACCTGGACAGCTGAGCGGGGAGGCCCAGCCAGGAGGACGTCCAGCAGCCAGTGAAGAGCGGGCCGGCCGTGGGCAAGTTGGCGCACGGTTACCTCAGTGTTCAGATGACCGCAGCCTCTGAGAGACCCAGAGCCTGCCTTTCTCAACACCGACCAAAGTCAGGCATTCTTCATCTGATGAGCAGGAGTGTAAAAGTACTTTAAAGTATGCAATGCTTGCCACAGAAATTAACACAATTAATTAAAATCAGGCCCTGGCTGGTGTGGCTCGGTGGATTAAGCACTGGCCTGTGAACCAAAAAGTCACGGGTTCGATTCCCAGTCAGAGCACAGGCCTCAGTTGTGGGCCACGTGTGTGCAAGAGGCGACTGCTACTCACACAACAGTGTTTCTCTCTTCTCTTCCCTTTTCTCTAAAGATAAATAAATAAAGTCTTTACAGTCAGGACTACAGGACAGTAACAATTCCACTAATAGAATTGTTTTTAAAAATTTCCAGAAAAAATAAGTGCCTAAATTATAGATCCAGTTTACAGGCAGAGTCATCCACCCAAAGATTGTCCTGACTCTAACAATCAGGAGAGACCTGGCTTCTGGCCTCTTGAGGGCACTGCAAGAGCAAAGACAGGAGCCGTTCCCAAAGTCCCTCCCCACGACAGGCTCACATTAAGCAGGTGTGAATTGTGGGGGTGGATGACAAAGGACACAAAAGGTGCTGGCCACTCGCTCTGATGGTCCAGTGCCAGATGCTATGTCTGCCACTGAGGAATGAAGCAGTCAGTGGCTTTCCTGATTCCACACCCCTGCCCCCTGCCAGGCCACGTGCTGGCCTTTGCAGAGCCCGCCGCGGTGGCAGAGAAGGACAGGGAGACTCAGACAGCCCTTGGAGTGAGGGCTCCCTTTCCGTGGGACGATGTCAAAGGTGCTGTCCCTCTGCGGGGGGCCATCTGTAATCCCTCACTCACTCAAGGGACAGTTGTGTATGTCCGTACAGTCAGGTGGGCAGCTGGGGCACTCAGGGTGGATGCACAAAGGGGTTTCAGCAGGTGTGCCTGGAGACCACAGACCATCAGTCCAGTGGGCGAGACAATTAGTTGCAAGGTTGAGTCTCAGGAAGCAAGGACAAGATGCAAAATGTTTTCTAGCCAGGGTCCAAGAGGCTTTAGAGATCTCAGGAAGAACCTAAATGGGCCGTAAGAGGCAACAGCCTGTGCAGGAGATGGCACTGTGGACAGAGGTGATGGCAGAGATAAGAGCGTGCAGCCCAGAGCTGGAGTCTGGGAGCCACGCCCGAGGTGGTGAGAGGCCAGCTCCGAGGGACGAACAGCAGGGGTCGGGGTGCCAACCCACCACCCCAGCATCCTTCTGTCCCACCCACTGCGATGATGGGTTGCTAGAAAGTGGCTTCATGAAGGGTGGGGCCTGGCACAAAGTGTCATTAAACACAGACACAGGTAACTGGGCCGTTTGGAGGATGGAAGGGCTACTGAGCTAGGAGCGGGCCCTGTGGGACTGGAGGGCGGAGGCAGTTGGAAACACAAGCCTGGCCCTCCCCAAGGCCACCTTGAGTCTCCTGCGGGGCATGAGACGGCGCTCTGACAGTGGGGACTGTGCAAAGTTGAGCCTCCCTTTTCTGGGCAGAATGTGAGTTATTCTGTTGATGGAAATGAATGATAAGAATAAAGTTGCTGCAGAAATAACAGCCAATGCCGAGTGCTTCCTCCCCGCCCACCACCGTTGCTGGCCGACCAAATCTTCAGGACAAGCCCACCAGGGCCGGTTCCCTGGTGCATGTGTGACCTGCAAGTCCCACAGGGCCCCCGCTCAGCAGGGCCCAGGGCTGGCTAATGCTCTGCTGTCTCACCTTAAAATTCCTGATGCTCTTCAAACAAGGGCCCTGAGTTGCCATTCTCATTCCCCAAATTGTGTAGTATACCCCAGTTCTGACCCCCGTTTTAGAGAAAACTAAGGAATTATGAAGTATCACGGCTGGGAAACGGAACCCCGGGGACTGGACCCCAGGCAGTCTGCACCCGTCGCTGCCTCTCACACGGCCAGGCGGCCCCATCCTTTGCCCACTGGACCATCCACTCCCTGAAGGCAGGAGCCGGCCTCTTTGCTGAGGGGGCATCAGTGTACTCACAACGCTCGGCACACTGCAGGTGCTCAATGATTTTTGTTGAATGAATCACTCGAGTGATCAACAGAAAACTGAGGGACAGTATAGCTTTAAGGAAGGATTTCACAAACTAGAAAACTGACCCTTATGAGTTAAAACCCTTGGCCCGGAGTAAATGGTCATCACCCACGACTGGGAGAAACTGGACACCACGTCTCAAAGTAAGCCGAGTTGCTCTCTTTACCCAGCCTTCCTGTCTCGTGTATCTCAGCTCTTCTTTTTGGAACCCCACCTTGAGAATGCCCCCCAACTCGTCCACATTGTCAACACTAGTTCTCATCTTTGTTTGGGTCACTGATTCTTACTAATGATCATATAAAAAGTCTCAATTCGGGAATGTGGCACAAGACTGTGGAACATTAGCAGAAATTATTTTTGCTCAATGCTTTTCTTAATCCTATTACAGAATTAAGTGTTCTGTAGGTGTGTCATTCATAATAAAAACAATAAAAAGCAGCTGATGTGTACTGAAGACTAGTCCAATACATGCAGGTCCTTTTCTGGGATTTTTCTCACTTAATCCTCACAATGACCCTCTGAGTTAGATCCTGCTCATGTCCCATTTTTTCATTGAGGAAAATAAAGTACAAAGTAAGTGTTCAAGTAACCTGCCCAAGGAGACACGGCTGGAAAGCAGCAGGGTCTGGGCAGCAATTCACCGCTGCACCCATATGGGTGCTTTGCAGTGTTTCTAGGCAGAAGACACCGACTTCTTCTCTTAAAGGGGCACTTTCCCTTCGGTGTTATGTTTCTGAAATAAAGCAGACCCAAAAAGCCAGTTTCTGCACTGCCAACTCGGATCTGAATGTTGTCTAGATATATAGGAACCACTCTTCACTAACAGATGACTCAAAAACTGAAAACCAAGAGACCAGCAAAGGAACTGGCCCTGGAGTCTTTCCCTGCCTTCATCTGACATCGCATCCAGTGCATGGTTGCCTTTCTCACTCCTCTTAGGCTGTAACATCATGGGCTCCCCCTCTGCCATCAAGACTTAAAACAAAGACATCTACGTTTTGTAAAACTCGGGAACTTCCTATGCCATCATGTCACGGCTCATGACCACGCTCGTTAACAGGTGTTCACTTTGGAGGTGACTGTGGGGCCCAGACAGAGCTCCTGTCATGGGTGGAGAGAAGAGAGTCCACGCTGATGCTGACGGGGACAGCCCTTTGCACTCTCCAGGCTCCAGTCTGACCTGTGATCCTCAGAGGAGGGGTCACTTTAGCTCAATGCATCATCACACGTCCAGCCAGTTCCCAAAAGTTGCAAAAGCATGGGGGGAAGTGGGGAGACAGCCTCTGGAGATGGGCACAGAAGGAAAATCCCAATCTCCAAAGAGACCCAAAGGGAAGGAAGGGAAAGGCTCTGCGTTGGTCTTTCTTAGAAGGAGGAAAGAGCCGGAAGCCGTTGCACTGACCCCTGGGCGGCCCTGTCACAGAGGGACACTGAAGCTGCCATCGAAGGACACAAGGAGTCAATCAGGCTCCAACAGGCGCCCTGAGGCACTTTAGGGGTCAGTTCCAGGGTGGGGAGGGGCCGCGCCAAGCTTTCCCAAACGCCCAGTGCTGCCAGGTGGATTTCCGACTGGGTGCCTGCGTCCCAGCTGGGTCACAGGTGGCCTGTGGTGTCTGCCCCACTGGCAGGAACCGCGGGGTATCCTCGTCAACTCTCTCTCGGGACCTCCAAGCTCGCCCCCAGCTCTCTCAGGAATTCACAGTGTTCACTCGGCCACCCCAAAAGGCCGCTCCCGCCGCGTGTACGCTCCTCCGCCAGATGTCAGGAACCCACAAGCCTCTGCTCCCCGCCCCCACGACCCCCAGGTGCTCTCGCCTCCCGCGCCCCAGGACCCCCGCACCCCTTGGCTGCCCGCCCCGCTTTCGGGCTTGGCCGTGCGCCCCCTCTCCCGCTCCTCCCTTGCTGAGGATGGGGCCCGGCGCGCGGTTCGGACCCAAGGGAGGCCCAGCCGCCGCAGCCGCAAGTGCGACGTGTCACAGGCCGGGCCGGCTCCTCCTCCCGCGGCCGTGGACACTGGCACCGCAAGGCCGCCCGCGGAGCCCCGCAGGGATGCCACGCAAGCCTGAACACGCCCGGCGGACACTACCTTGTTGGTGGGCACGGAACGGAGGCGCTTGAAGATGGTCAAAATGTCCTGCTTGCTGGGGTCCCCCATAGTCACCAGAGAACCGAGGCACAGCTGGTCCAGCCAACCGGGAAGGGCCGAGTAGGAGCGGTTGCCGCCTCCCTGAGCTAGACTGCGGCCCAGGGGGCGGGGCAGCGCGTGGGGGCCGGGCCCCGCTCACCCAGGCCCCGCCCTTTCAGACCCCGCCCAAAACCCCGCCCAAAACCGGCGCACGCGCCTGGAGTCTAGGGCCTCGCTAAGCTGTATCGCTGGCTCCGCCCGCTGAAGCCCCGCCCCCGATGCTGCACGCGCGTGCGCAGAAAGCTCGCGAGCCTTTTCCAGGTTTTGGCTGGCGAAGCTGGTGGGGTTTGCTCCCATGCGCACGGCCTTCGGAACCCCCATCATTTCGGCTGGTGGATTGCCATTTCAACTAATGGACTGCTTTTCACCTCTTCCGTATTGTTGAAGCAGAACCAGTCACTCCAAAGTGGCAAAGGGGGAAACTTGAAGGGAAAGAGCCAACCCGCCGTTTCCGACGCTCAACACAGGACTGGAGTCCAGACACGAGTTTTCCTAATTTTTTTTTTTTTTTTGCCCTAAGTTAAGAATTGTTCTACGCCAATAATTGCTTTTCTTAATGTATCGGTTTGCGGCTAAGGCCCGGGGTGGGGGGGGAGGCAGGCAAAAGGTGCTTAGTCAGAACTGGTAAGCAGACAAGAAGCTCGATGTTTACAGCACCTCGGATTGTATCCTACCCTTTGGCTGCCTTTGCGCGTGCGCAAAGGCCCCCTTTACGGGCAAGAAGGATTCGAACTTGGAGAAGGTTGCCTCTTTTACAACGGCGGGTGTGGAGCCGCCGAAAGATGACGCCCGAGGTTTTGTGGTGTGGGGAAAGGACAGTTTGGGGGCCAGATGCAGTACCCTGGCCCCGAGCCCCGCTGCGCCTCCTCCTTCCTGGCTCTGTGATCCTGGTCGAGTCATTGCTCGGCTCTGACACACTTGGTCCGCTCAGCTGCGCAGTGGGGTGAGAATGAAGGATCGGTGCTGAGTTGCCCAGGAGGGCAGCGTCCCAGGAATAGCCTTTCGGTCTTGTAGAGGCTGGGGTGGTTCGCCTCACCTGGATGGTTAGATGCCCTCGGGGTAAGTGGGAAAGGTGCCAGGAATAGGTTGGAACTTATCCAAGGAAAGGGAAGTTATTACCTTGCAGAACAGTATCCTTTTTTATTTTTGCAGGCAGCTGTGGCTGTTTGAAAGTTCTTCCTTGTATTGAGTCAAAGTATATACCCTTGTATTTTGTGTCCGTTGGTATTTGACCTTAAATGGGACACCTGGCGTGTTCATAAGGAACAGTCATATCCTGGTGGGGATGATGGTCCCATTTACTGTTGGGAGCTGAAATCTTAGCAATGTATACGTCAGATGAGGGCAGGGTATGTCCACTCAACTCTCCGACATAGAGACCCCTGCGGAGAAGAAAAAGTGAAGTGTAGACAGTGTCCACACTAATGGGCAGGCGCAAGGGAAGGGGAAAGACCACCCCTGCTTTTGCTCTCATCTGCTTCTGTGTTCTTCCTGGAACTTATCACCACCTGGTATTGTGATACGGAAATAAATACATCTGCCTCCCTTCACCTGAATCTAAATGTCATGAGATCAGAACTGTTTGGTCTCCCTCTCTCTCCCCAGGACCTGCAACAATGCCAGGCATATAGTGTACGTTCAATAAAGATTTTTGCTGTGGGTTTAGAATTTTTAAGTACAAAGAACGTCACTTCCAACATCATAATGAGAAAAGGCTGGATAATCTACAGAATCATAACCTCCTGAGTCCATCAGAGAGCTGAGTTTGCCAAGCAACCAAGGAAACCGAACTCCACGAGAGAAAAGACTCCAAAAAAGAGAGGGAGCACAAGAATCCCCTCAAGTTTGGCAGGCACAGGAGAAAGAAGTGGCTGCCATACCATACAAGTGAGCAAGAGGAAATCATCTATGGTTTTTAAAAAAATTTTTATTTATTTACTTTCACAGAGAGGGGAAGGGAGGGAGAGAGGGAGAGAAATTGGTCAGTTGCCTCTAGCACAGCCCCATCTGGGGACCTGGCCCACAACCCAGGCATGTGCTCTGGCCAGGAATCGAACCAGTGACCTTTTGGTTTATAGGCCGGTGCTCAATCCACTGAGCCACACCAGCCAGGGCTGAAATCACCTAAAATTTTAATTAATTTTTAAAGGCCAAATGTGAGCTAGCATAGCAGTTTGCAGTAGTTGAGGGCCTCAGATACAAAGAGAGTTTACATTCACTTGCAAGCACTTTTCCATGAAACTCCACCAGAACTCTTTCTTCTCGAGAAAGATGGAGACCAAGAAAGGGACTGGAGAGAAGCCCCTCGTGTGGCAGGCGCGCAGCGGTTGGGGGGCGGGCACAACATCCCACCCCGAGAAAGCAAAAGCAGCAAACTCCCTCACCCTTGGGGCACAGGCACAGATCCATTTCTGCCATGGGAGGAAGGGAAGCAAACCCAGTAATACCAAATCCAGAAGAGGGTCGGAAATCCTCTAACTTTGGAAAGCGCAGACAGAATTTCTGCTGCAGGGAGGGGGAAGGATAGAAGCAAAATCCCTCTACTGCCGGAGAAGCGTCAGCAAACTCCTTGGACTTAGAATCCCATATCCGTACCAAACAGGTTTGCTGTCGCCAGGAGGAGGGCAGAAACATGGAGAGAGCCCCACCCCAGAGCCCCAGCCCCACTAGACCTAAGACTGAGGCTGGACCAGGGCACCAGAGACCCTCCTCCCTCACGTTCAGGAGCCTGGCACTAAGTAACAGGTGGCAGCGGTCCACCCCAGGAGGAGGAAGGAGCGTGACAGCAAACAGTTCTGGCACTCCAGCCCACACTGTAAGCACGAGGTTACATCAGCCCCCTGCTAAAGGAGTTCAAATCCCGTGGTGCACTGATGATAAACAGAGAACAACAAAACCAGACCTAACTCCACCCTAAATCGACTCAGCCCCACACTAACGCCCTGACTGAAGTCTGCTTGCCCGTTTTCAAGTGTAGACGCTGTTAACTCCAGTCTCTAACCCTTTACATTAGGGCTTCTTAACCTACTGGCACTTCGGACTAGATGATTCTTTGCTGTGGGGACAAAACCAGCCCTGGCTGAGAACCACGGTTTGAGGCTTGAGAATTGAGACTTGAGAATTGTAATAGAAGACAGAAGGGCGTGAAAGCAGATGCAGCCAACAGACAGGATTGTGCCTTCTGCACACTGTCCTGCGGTTTTCTGACGACGTCTGGGGTGGCCGAGGCCAGGAGGAATGGCACTTCGGTAAGTCCTCACTTAATGTTGTGGAAAGCATCTGCGACTTTGAGCAAAACCAGGAGTGATGAAACCAGTTTTCACATAGGCCAACTGATACAAACAACAGTTCCTGCGGCGTGATAACCAAAGGACATCGGATAAAATGGCACTTTTCCAGGGCCCGCTGCTGTTTATCTGAGTCACTCACCGTGGAACAGGAGCTTGCTGAAAGCCAGAGGCCACTCTGAGGAACAGCTAGGCGTGCCTAGATGTAGTCCCGTGATAAATGACAAAGCAAGACAAACACAGAGCTTGTCCCTTGCCCCTGGGGGACCCAGTGGACTTTAGTTAGTGCTGGAGGGAAAACAGGTGAACCTTGTCTCTTAGTCATTGTCACTTCTTTGTCACAGATCAGGTGCACTTGAAAATGAACCATGGAGTGAATCACGAGCCTTATCTGATTCCCACCAGCCCAGGATGTTCGATCAGGCAGCGCATACTTGGAAGTTCACAAACGCCCCATTTTAGAAGGTAAAATATTTAAACAATAATTTGATTTTTTAATTTTTAAAGGCATGATTCATTTTGTTTTATTTGTATTCTATTATTATCTATTACTGTATTTTATTTAATCTTTATTGTATCTTTTCCCATTACCATTTAGTCCCTCTATATCCCTCTCCCCCCCAGCAATGCCCACACTTGATTTTTTAAAGAGGACTCTAAGCCGATGCTATTACCTCCTTTAATGGGATCAATGATTTGGAACACCTTCATTACTGTAATGTTTCCATATTACACTATAGCAAAAATAATCAGAAAGTGAAATGCAAACTTATCGAGCCTACAGCACTTGAACACTGCATGTATTTGTAACCACCGAGCACTGGGAATGTCCTTCAACTAGACTGACAAACTTGGTGAAGTCATTCGGTGGGAACTACTCACGACAGGAAGGAACAGACCACTGTCGTGTAAAACCACGTGGACGAACCTCAGAACAACGCTGTGCAGTGAAAGAAGACAATTTCTAAAGGCTACATGTCGTCTGCTTCCATTCATAGGACATTTTGGAAAAAGCAAAACTATAGGAACGAAGCAGATCAGGGGTTGACAGGACATAAGGCTGTGAACAGAGGGGCAGAGAGAAATCCGGGGGACGATGGGACGGTTCTGTGTCTGGACGGTGGCAACGGCTGCAACAACTTGTCTGCATTTCTGTTCTGTCAGAACCTGCAGAACTGCCCACTGAATGGGGTACGCTTTACTGTGTGCGAATGGTAACTTTAAAAATGAAAAAAGAAATGGGAAATAAAGCAAATGCTTGGCGCCGAGGGACTTACAACATATGGAATAGTGTGCAGCCATTAAATGCTTTATTTTGAGTTGAAGCACATTTAGGATCACGAGAAAATGCTTGTGCTGGCATGTTGAGAGGAGAAGTGGGGCACCAAACTGCAGTTACCGTATGATCCTAGTTTTGTGAGACAGGTACACACTGATGATGACAAGAAAGCACGTACGCGCGTGTATGAATAGAAAAAAGCCAAGGAAAACGACAGCGGAGCAGAATGGCAGCCAGGGTGACCTCTGGATGTCAGGATCACGAATGACGGTGTTTGTCTGAATACGTTTGCTTAGCTTCTAAATATCCCCCTGCATTTTCACTCCTTTTACAATGAAGGGAAATCGTTAACATCATTATTGGAAAATATTCTGAGGGGCAGGAGCAGCCCTGCTACCCTGGCTCCACAGTGGCCGGTGAGCTGCACACTTTGCTAGCAGCCAGCCGGGGCTCAGGGTGTGTGGTCTTCACTCCTCCCGGCGGGACGCTCAGGCTTCTGCAGTGGCAGCCGCGGCGTGGGCTGCCGAACTCTTCCCTTTGCTCCTGGAGTTTTAGCCCAGTGACAGCTGGTGTCATCCTTTCCTCAAAAAGAGTGATGGTATCTGCATAGTTCTTTGTTCACTGTTCCCACCTTCCTCCCTTGATGTGTTGGCCCTTTCCACAAAGGATCTGAAGGATTCTGAAACAGTACACCTGGGTCCCCGGGCTGTGATGGTCGGACTTAATTCTCCAACTTTCTGACTTCACGGTGGCGTGGGAAGGACAGCATTCAGTGGAAACCAACTGGGCTGGGCTGCGATGTTCAGTACTTTAGGTGTAGTAAAAGCATTTTTAAAAAACTTCTTATATAACTTTTTTGGATTTTCAAGATTATTTTATATTAGTTTCAGGGGTACAGCATGTATAATAGATAATCATGTAATTTTCAATAACTGCATTTTTAAATTAATTTTATTTAGTTATTTTTCAAGTACAGTGTTTTTGTCTATTTATGCATTTTTGATTTAGGATATTTTCCACTTGGGACAGGTTTAGCAGGACGTAACCCCAGCATAATAAGTTAAGCAACATGTCTAATCTGAGTTTTACTGTTTCGTCCAGAGTGGATTTCATTGTTGTTTTTTTTTTTTAAATGTTTTTATTGATTTATTTTTAGAGAGAGGGAAGGGAGGGAGAAAGACAGGGAGAAAAACATTGGCCCACAACCCAGGCATGGACCCTGACTGGGATTTGAACCCACGGACTTTCATTCTGCAGGCTGGTACTCAATCCACTGAGCTATAGCAGCCAAGATGTTTTTTCTTTTCGTTTTATCTCCACAAGCCCTGGGCTAGAGAGAAGAGGTTGCTAGTCACTGGGGCCGACCGACACACCAGCAGTGGCGAGGGGGTCGGGTGAGTGCTGTGAGGAGGTGCCCCAGAGCACAGAAGAGGGCCTTTCAGGTCACAGCTCCGTGTGGGGTGACTCCAGTCCTGACAGGTGTCATTTAAGGAGCACCACTAGGCGGAGGCGCCTCCTCCCCTTCGGAGTCTGGCGCCCTCATGGTCCTACAGCAGGACAGGCCTAGTGCACAGGCCCTGCCCTGCACTGCCCACGGCTGAATCTGGGACGGCTGTGTAATGACTGGCGCTCTTTTGGCAAGTTACCTAACCTCTCTGTGCCTCCCGTTCTTCATCTATAAAAATAGGAATAACAATATTTACCCAGTTCATCGGGCTGCTGTGAGGGGGTCAATAAGTTCATAAGTGTTAAAGAATTTAGAACAGGGTCTGGTACTGAGTAAAATACAAGTGCTTTTACTATTATTCCCATTTTATAGATGAGCAAACCAAGGCTTACTAAGGGGTGCCCAACCTGCGGCCGCCTGTAGCCCAGGATGGCTGCGAATGAGGCTCAACACAAAATCGTTCATTTCCTTAAAATGTTGAGTTTTTTTTTTGTGTGAATACGTGTTGCAGTGTATTTAATGTGTGGCCCAAGACAACCCTTCTTCCAGTGTGGCCCAGAGATGCCCAAAGGTTGGTCACCTCTGTGTGCTTAAGGTCACAAAGCTACTTAAGGTCACACTGCTGGAGCCAAGTTCAAGTGCAGGAGCTAAGACCTCACAGTCTATGCTCTTTATTGACTTTGTTCTTATGCCTTTGTAAGACTGGCCTTAAGTTTCAGAGAAGTAAAAAAAGTGTCTTGTCAGATTTTGGTGTGGAAAAGCCAGCCTTCCTACATACACGGCCCACCTGTGTCCGAGTGCGTGGCTCGGAGGAAGCACGCATGCCCAGCTACGGGCTGGGGACGGTCTGGAGTCTCCACCGGGGGCCTGTGAGTTGCTTGCCGCCGGCTCACGTCAGGATGCTGGTGGGGTGGAGACTGCCTCCGTAAAGAGGTGCCCCATGTTTGTGCTTGACCGAGCACTGTCACACCCTTGGCCTTCTGCAACCAGGAATGAGGGAAGACGGGAATCATTCTGCAGATGAGGAAACAATGGAGGGTCAGGGAGGTGAAGAAACTTGCCTGAGTGTTGCATGCAGCTCATCAGTGACACAATGCGCCAAGATGACCTTGGGGGACGCCTTGCCCTCGCTGCTGCCTTGCCCTCCTGGCCCCTTGCATGGGAATCCTAATAGCCCGAGATGGGGTGTCACACTGGCCTGTTCCCGGACTCCCTGCGTTCTTTGTGCATGCTGTCCCCACCTCCTCGGCCCAGCTGGGTGGCGGGTCAGTCTCCAGGTCCCCAGGGCCCAGCACCTGTGCCCTCGAGTTGGGTTAAGAGCATCTGCAGGTCACCTGAACAAATCAAGGAGCAAGTGGCATCGCTGGTGTTTGGTGGCTCTGACTTGCTGTTTGGACCAGCGGTTCTCACAGTGTGGCCTGGATCAACATCTCCAGGGGACCAGTTAGGTTTGCACGCTCTGGGCCCCGAGGCAGCCTGGCGACTCAGGAACTCTGGGGAGCGGCCGAGCAAACGGGGTTGTAGTGAGCCCTCCAGGTGTCTGAGGGCCAGGGATTCAGACGACAGCACCTGCTATTGGAACTGGGCCCTGGAGTTCAGACCCCAGCCCTGCCCCCTCTTGCTGTGTGGCCTGATGCCGGTCAGCCAACCTCTGGTTTGGTTCCTCATCTGTATAATGGCAGTAATATCCCATAAGGAGGTTTACATGATGCTGTGCTGGAAAGGTGCTGTGCATGGGGCCTGGCGTGGAGCTGGTGAATGTTAAGCCCAAGGCTAGTGGGACACAGGCCGAGCAGCTTCCTGTCCCATGATAGTGCCAAGGTTGGCCTGGATCCTCTGACCCTGTGCTTGGCCCCAGCCCTGCCGGGCAGTGGGTGAGTCTCATCCCTCAGACGCAGGTCTGGCCAACTTCAGTGCTGCCACCTGGGTCTGCCCCCCCTGTGGCTGGGGAGCTGCCTCCATGCCGGCCCTGGCTCCTCTGCTAGCGCCCACCACAGACCACCAAGGTGCAGCCCCGGGTCCCTACCCACTCCTCCATGGGAAACCGAGGCACAGGGAGGGGCACACGCCTCCTGCAGGGGCAGAAAAGGGCAGCCACCACTCTGCAGAGAGCTGGGGCTCTGAGAAGGGTTGGGGAGATGTGGCTTCTAGGTACCTAGAGGGCAGGCAGCTGCCTGCTGTTGTCCCGAAGTGGGTCCCCATCGCTTGATGGGAACTGAGGTACAAGAGAGGCTCTGGGTCCCACAGAGGTGCCCAGGCCAGATGCTTCTTACTGGAGGTGGGGGAACAGCTCAAGGACCTCCTAGTACCTTGCCCCTTAGGGCCTGGGGGTGGGGTCGGAAGACCTGTTTTTCCCGATTTCCTGAGGCTCCTGGGCTGACTGCCAGGACCCCCCATGTACCCTCACGGAGCACCGCCTGGCCCCCTCCCCTCTGGCCGTCCCGGCCTGGCCTACCCGAGCTCCCTGAGGGCAAACGCAGCCCCTTCTTCATGTCTGTCCTGGCACCACCGAGTTTCGCACAGTATGTGCTCAGTAAACGCATGGGGAATGAATGGAGCCCAGGAACAGGAAATAGGGAGGAGGCCTGCCCACTTCCTGCCTGGGGTGCTCCTTGGGGTCAGACCTCGCTCCTCAGCTTCCCCCACCACTTTGCTCTGTGGCCACAGCCACGTCCCTTCCCCTCCCCGCCTGTTTCCCCGTGAACCAGCAGGGGGCCCTCCTCCACCTCCCCCATCCCTACCTGATGGATTGTGAGCAGGTTTCTTCCAGGCCTGGCCCCCAGTACCCAAGGCCTTGGCACAGCCCACAGGCTGCCCACCAGGGGCCAGGCCAGGCTGGGGCGAGGCCACGCATGCATCTGGGTGGATAAGGACCCCGTGGTGAAGCCAGGGACACATGGGTCGGCCCCGCCTTCTGTGTGTGGGGACCTCAGAAAGCCCGGGGTTTTTGTTTAGGCTTCGGCAGAGCCAGATCCCTGCCTGGGTCACTCGACCTGAGCTTGCTCGCCCTCTGGGGGCATTACCAGGGCACGAGGATGACATGCCCCCTCCCAGCACCACTCTGAAGGGAGGGGACTGGGACAGGCTGCCTTGGGTGGTGTGGACACAGCCACGGTCCAGGGGCAGAAGGGCAGCTGGGCCCAGGAAGTGGCTGGGGGGTGGGGGACGGACGGAGGGGTGAAGGGGACTTGGTGGCCCCATGTGGGGGGGTGGGAGGGGCAGCCGAGGATGCCAGAGGGCCCTGGTTGGGGACAGGGAGGATGGCGTGTCACTCATAACCACTCTAAGTGGCCACCTGAGTTTCTGCAGCCTTTCCCCTCGTTCCAATCCTCTGACTGGAGGTCAGCACCATCCTCTCCTGGGGAAACTGAGGCCCAGCTTGCCCCTGATGGCCACGCCGGACTGGCAGGTGGGCAGCAGGGCCCTTCCGGACCCTCGCAGGCCCTCTGGGGACAGCAGGCGGCCGGGAAGAGGCCTCACTGAGCAGAGGCTGCCCCACCCGCTTGCCCCTTTGCTCTTTGAGGGCCGGTGGGGGGGTCTTGGAAGGGCTTGGTTTGCACTTAAGAACCTGTGGGTATGGGCCCCACTGCAGCTGTCACGGGACCTTGGGCAGTTCACTGGCGTTTCCGGACCTCCTGTGTCCTCTTCTGCAAAGCGGGGTGACTCCCACCTCCCCATGGGCTGTGGTGCAGGTACACCAGCTCACCGGGTGCTCCAGGCCCTCCCTCCTGCCCTGTCCTGACTCTGCACCGCAGCCACGAAGTGCGGTGGAGGCTGGTGTCCTGCCTGGGCAGCGGGCAGCTGTGCCGGACTCCAGCGCCTCCTCAGAAGGGCACAGCAGGGGCCCAGCACCATCTGACCGGGCGGCCGCAGGACAAAGGTTTGTCCCGAGCCCCCCATGAGCTGGGCGAGTGCCGCTGCAGTGGCCGCTGCCCGCCCACTCCTCCTCCCTCTGGCCTTTCTCCTCACCTCACCCACGTGGGCGTCGGGGGCTCCTCGGGTGAGTCTGGCTCTTGGAGTCCGTTTTTGGGTTTTTTTTAGGAGTTTACTTATTTTTAGAGAGAGCAAGGGAGGGAGAAAGAGAGGGACAGAAACATTGATGTGCACAAGAAACATCAATCAGTTGCCTCTCGCACACCCCCAACCAGATACCCGACCCCCAGCTCAGGCAGGTGTCCTGACTGGGAATCGAACCGGTGACCGGGTGTTTGGAGACAGGCAGGCCTTGCCCAGACGACCTGCGAGCAGAGCCCAGGGCCACACGCACTGCAGGCGCTCGGGGACGCGGCCGGGGAGCCCGGCCGTGGGCGGGGCCACTGGTCTGGGGTCGCTGTTGGGGCCCAACCCGTCCACCCCCAGTGCAGCAGGGCCAGTGGGACGGGGACATGGCCCCTGGGGCAGCGGTGTGGGCCCGGGGTCTCTCCCGGCTCCCAAGCTGGTCCGTGCTGCCGGGGACACGTGCACCAGCTGATGTGAGTGTGCGGCTCACGCGTAGCACAGACACCACCATACTGATGAGATCAACTGTTTATTGATTTTTTCCTAAGATACTATAAAGAAACTCCTGAACTGAAAAGACTTGACAGTTTTTGGTAATCTGTAGCCAAGGAATGCCAATTTCTGCTGGTGAGTCTTCACGGTAAACACACACACATCGCTGCCGAGGCAGGATGCCGAGCCCCCCGGGACGCCGAGCCCCCCGGGACGCCGAGTGATGCATAGCTTGTGATGGCGGGGGCCACTCCCCGACGCCCGAATCACACAAAATAGGAGTCCCCCCCACCCTGCGACCGCAGCCCAGCTTCCTGCCGCAGCACGTCCGCTCCCTGACGACCAGGGACACTCGGAAGAGACCCCTGCCCTACAGGGTGAGCCCAGCTTCTGTCTGCTACTGAGGAACACGGGTGACCGAAATCTGCAACCCCTGGGCAGACCTGGGAGCTTTATGGGGTCCACCGTGGGGAGGACAAAGGCTGGTTGGCGGGTGGGCCCGCAGTGGGCCAGGGAGGACAGACCTCCCCCCGGCAGTGTCCACTCCAGAGGCCCAGGGCCCATGGCCGGAGCCCCGAGGAGGCCCACCCAGCCCACCAGCCAGGCCTGGGCCCAAATGCCATGGTCTTCAAGCGGTTTGCAGATTGAATCCACTGTCAAGAGCCTTTAAAATCTCATGGAAACAGTAGACAAGCTCCTTAGATTCTCTGAATATCAAACAGTACATACAGACACACGCCAGGACGCGATGGTCTAACTAACACAGCATCTTAACCCACAGGTGCTTGTGCCCGAAAAGCAAGTCTTCTCAGTCCGACCTTCTGCTCACCGACAGAGTGAGTGACCCGCAGGCATCATGTATCAAGCACGAGGAGAAGGAACTAGTTCCCAAACACGGCGACGTTGGGGGCCACTACACCAGATGTTTCCAAAGCCCACACACTCACAGCGGAAACCCAACCTCGAGGTGTTCCCACCCTCCACTGCGGTCTCCTGCCTCGGGCGCCCTGTCTACCAGGCCGGCTGCAGCCGCTGCGGGCGTGGCGTGGGCGAGGAGCAGCGCCACGTGGTGACGGGCCATCGCTCCCTCAGCCCGGCGCACATCCATCTGCACCAGAATTTAAGCATAAATGAACGACGAACAGGAAATAAAAGGGCCCAACCGCACATGGCCTTGAAATTAAAAACCTCAGAAAATGGCACATACATTTGTTCATTTGAGGTGAGGGTGACGGGCGCACGCATCAGAGAAAGGAGCCATCGGGACGAGAACGAGGGTGGCCCTCAACTGGCGTGAAGGCGAGGCGCACAGACGAGGTCAGGACACACAGACCACAGAGGCCACACGCACGCCAAGTCGGGGAGCCGCCGAGTGGGGGAGCGGGCAGGGGCCGGCCACGTCTGCTGCGCTGCGTCCTCCCGTGCTCACGTCTCCCCGCCGCGCCGTGGGAGGGCTGCCTGGACCCGGGAGAATGACCGGCTCGTCTGTCTCGAGAGACACCATGAAGCCAAGAGCAACGGAACCATCATCTTTTGCAGGAACAGGAGTGGCTGCCCATACGGCCAGCTGGAGGCGCCGGAGTGCTGCCCAGGCCGCCGGCTAATGGAGCTCGGGGGCCGCACCCCTCCACCAGCCAGCCCATGGGACGTCACTGGATGGCCTCGACGTAATTTGCTGGGTACAGGCCAACCTGGCCATTGTCCAAGCGCCCCTTGCACCAGCCTTGCTCATCCTCGTCCTCTATCTTGGTCAGCTCGTCCCCTGCAAGACAAAAAGGGAGGGGTGTTGCTGGGCTGGTGGTCGACACACTGGCCACTGGGTCAGGCTCCCTTGGGTCTCCGCCCCCACCCCTGGCCCATCCAGGGTTGGTGACATGGGTGGGAGGGACAGGCATCCTGCTGGGGCCAAGGCGAAGTGTGGGCCTGCTAATTTCTAAGAGATCTGTGTTCACACCATCCCCGTAAGCAAGCAGCCCCCTGATGCCATGGGGGGTTGCCAATACAGAGACTCCAGTATTAAAGGCTGCAGGCCTCGGGCCTCCTGGCCGCCCCAGGCCAGGTCAGAGGACTCCTTTCGCAGCCCCCCTACCCTGGGCCTCACCCGCTCACTGTTCCTGCGTCCCTCCAGAGCCTGTAGGCTGTCTGGGGCCTCCATGTGACCTGGGGCCAGGCAGCAGGATGTGGGAGGGCAGGCGCCTGTCACTCCACCTCCAGCAGCAACTCGAGCACATCCACCGACTTAAACATTACCCCCTCCTGACACTCTCAGACGGAAGCCAACAGACCTCCTGGCTCTCTGTGCCAGGTGGCTAGATTTATCTTTTGTTTGTTAGACATGAGGAAGGACCTTCCTCAGGTCCAAGGTGGTGGAGACTCAGAGATGAGAGACAGAAAGAGCGGGACAGGGAAGATGGGCACCCGGGTGTGAGGCTGTCTTCATGGTCTGGTTTGTGGCTTGTGTCTCTCGTTGGCGTTTTGGCCCCTTTTCCAGGCGTGGTTGCCGTCGACACCTTGTTTAGCAGCAGTACCTCCCTGACTCTCAGTGCTATGCAGCGGCAACACTGATGAGACACTGCGGGCCAGTCCCAGGGCTGCCTGTGCTCCCAGGGCTGCTGGGTCTGGGTCCCGGAGCCGCCCCACAGGCCGGGCGAACAGCTCCGCCTCCAGGCCCTGCACCCGCACCCATGGACAGGGCGCTGCGGGGCTGCAAGTCACGACACAGAAGGGCACGGAACAATGCCCAGCACACGGTCTCTCCCATGTGCCCTGGTCACTCCTCCCGGGGCTGGGCTCCCGACGGGCCCCGGGCCGCTCTGCCACCGTCAGCGGTGATCGCAGGGCTGCAGGGTGAGTGGCTGGAGGGGCAAGCTTCCGTCTCCTCCTACCCCTCGGCCCCGCCTGTGCCTGTCGGGGCCGATGCTGTGACCCTGGCGTTTCTGTCACCCTGCCCTGGCCGGCTGCTGTTCTCCCAGGCACACAGTGAGACAGCAGCGCGACCAGCGTGCTCCCAAGACCAGAGGAACGGCGCGCAGCCAGAGCGCGCTGCAGAAGAAGAAAGCAGCACTGGCCGTGGGTCTTCCACGAGCGGGCCTGGCGGGTGGAGGACCTCGGCGCCTCTGGGCCCAGTGTGTGCGGGCTGCTCCGGCCTCCTTAGACGGGCTCCAGCCTTTTCAAACTGAGGGCTGCAGCCCATCTCCGTGAGCAGCAGCCAACATTTAACCGAAAACAACTGAATGCACAACCATGTCATCAGGATGCTGGATTCCATTAAAACCGGTTTCAGCCACCGGCAACGGAGGTGTGTTGGTGGTCAGCATGGCCCCTGCGTGGCTGCGGGGAGGGTGTTTGGAGGGCGCTGCTGCTGAGACCAGCCTCTGCCGCCCTGGGGCGCACCAGCTGCTGCTCCGGGGTCCGGGCAGAGTGGCCGCACCAAGGGCTCTTGCCAGCTGGGGGCCTTGGGAGGAAGGCTTTACCCTCGGGGACCTGCCGGGCCTGCTGCTGCTAGACACGTCCGCGGGAACCAGGTGGGCTGGCGCTCCGCGTCTCCTGCTGCAGGCGCCACTGTGCCCAGCCTCCCCAGCTAAGGGCGATGTCATCGAAAAGGCATGAGGGCACCTCCCTCTGCCGAGCTCTGGCACTGAGCATCGAAGTGGGTGGGGGGACCCGCACACGCAGCCGGCAGGAATGGCAGCAGACCCCACACAGACAAGGCCCTGCGGGAGGCTGGAAGCACCGGTGCGGAGCCACCTACCGGCTTTGAGGCTCAGCTCGTCGTGCTCCTGCCCTTCGTAGTCGTACAGCGCACGGACCCGCACCTCCGCCCCCGAGGCCGCGTCCTCGTCGAAGGGGTTGGAGTCCCCGTTGGCGTCCGTGGAGGAGAACGGGTTGTTGGCCTCGTCGTCGGACCAGTCTGTGGGGTAGCTCTGCGTCTTCTCGAAGCTGCTCGCACTGCAAGACAGAGTGGGCCGGGCCTGAGCAGGGGGCACGGAGGCGGGAGGCCCGGGGCTGGGCTCCTCCGCAGGGCGCAGCCGTGGCAGCACAGCCTGGTCGGCTCCCTGCCGGCCCGCACCAGCCCCTGGTGGAGGCCGGGACCCCCGGCAGGCCTGTCTTCCTGCCCTGAGGCCTTGACCACGGTTAACGGCAGACAGAGAGAAAGCGACCACAGACAATTAACTGGTGCCCCTCCCTGAGAAATCGAAAAGCCCAAGACCGTCCACGGCTGGCAGCCAGGCCACTGCCTGTGGGCCTCGAGCGTGGCTTTGAGCGCCATGGGGCCGAGACCCTGGACAAGAGGAGACAGACAGAGCAAGCCAGGTGGAGACCAGAGGGAAACGTTTGTTCACCAACTTTTTGGGCTTAATGTCCTCCTTCTCACTGACGGTGCTCCCCGTGTCGTCCTCGTCCTCGAAGGGGTTGTAGCTGGACAGTGACTGCGCTGACCGCGGGGGGTTGCTCGGGACACTAAGGTCACTACGGGGAGAGAGAGAGCTTTCAGGGGACCCCAGCTCGCAGTCCCCCAGGTCCTGGGTGCTCCAGCTGCAGGACACAGGGCCAGGGGCTAAAAGCACCAGTCGGGTGGAAGGAACACGTCTGAGCAGGAAGTGGGTTTCGGCCAAACGCTTGGCCGTCATCCTTCGGCTGTTAAACACCCTTCAAGCACCTCAGAGAACAGATCTGCATTCTCCCTCCTTGCATCTGGACCAGTCCGCCCCAAACAGGAGCCCTGGGGCGGAGCGCATGGGGTCTGGGCCTCACCTCCTCCGTGAGCAGGCGGCTAGACAGCCCTGGGGCTCATCTCGGGGGGCTCAGAGCCCCGATGATGAGAAGAGGGAGGCTCCTGGAGCTTTGCGGACCCCACTGCACAGCGCACCCCGCCTGACCGCTGGAGGGTCCGGCAAGAAATGCCACGCATGGCACCAGAGTGACCCAAATGACCTTACGGACACCAGGCCTGGTGAAGGGCACTGGGCCCAGCCTGCCCTTGCCTACACCTGAGCCAGACGTCTGAGGCCACCAGGCCCCCTCTCGCCTTGGCACCTTTCCCCAGCCAGCTTTCTGAGAGGGGGTCACCTCGGGCGGCTGAATCTGTGCAGCAGCCCGTGCAGCCTAGACTGCCCCCTGGACTTCCCCAGGTCCCATCTCGTCCTCCCTCTCCGGCCCCACCCCAGCCACACAGGTGCTGGCCTGATCCCTGGGACGGTGCTTACTGCTCTCGTCATTTAACCTGCCCACCTGCCCAGATGGCGACAAAGCAGCTGAGAGAGGACAGGCCACGTCCACCCAGGCAGTCTGGGCAAGGGTTCAGAAAGGCCCCTGGACACTGTGCTGACCCTTCCCAGGCAGCCAGTCGCGAGATGCAGCCCCATGCACGGTACCACCGCTCGGTTTGACAGAGGCTCTGCCCCGGGTCTGTGCAGCGGGCAGACTCCCAGGAAGGCAGTGCTGGGGACCACAGTCCTGCAGGGGCCGAGCTCCTACAGTGGGTGATGGGGAGTCAGAGGCAGGGCAGGCTTTGTCTCGCTCACACTTCCCCAGAAGTTCTGATGGCCTTGGTGCCACCTCTTCTCGCCAAACTCAGTTTCAGCCGACAGTGAGAAACAGCCGACGCTCCCCTGCCACCCTCCCCCAGGCACCTGCCCCGCAGACTGGTCTGGATGCTCGGACCCACCCGAAGAAGCCGACAGCAACCCCCCCCTGCCTGTGTGCACCACTGGGGACACATCATGACCAGCACCTGACGTCAACTCCTCCCCTGACCTGGAGCCCAGAGCAAGTGTGTGGCAAAGGCTCCCTCTTTGGATCTTCCCGCAGCTCCAGTAGAACTCAGGTGCCCAGGGAGCACCTGGGCAGATGCCCATGGGGGTCCCTATGAGGCCCCACTGGGGACCCCCCTGGAGCACCAGCTGGGGGCGTCCCTGCCAGTGCAAAGGGCCCAGGGCTGGAGGCTTCCGTGCCCACCTGCTGGGCCTGTTCTGCAGAGCCTGGTCGCCTGTCTGGTTGATGCCCGTCAGGGTGACGCCATCGGTGGTCTTCTTCTTCTCTCTCCGGCTGAGCGTGCGGTTCATGTCTGCAGACCACTCCTGGGCAGCCGGCACCAAGGGAGAGAGACCGGGAAGTTGGTTTGTTTGAGGCCACGCTAGTCTGAAACATGGGGCAGGGCCCTGGCCTTCAGAGCCGAAGACTCTTCCTGTCTACACTCTCAGCTGTCTCTGGTCCCCAGGGTGCAAGAGGGCTGGGTTCGCGGACCCGAGCAGGTCTGCAATGGGGGAACAAAGCGCCGGGTCACCGCATCACCCCTGGGGCGACAAGCTAACCCACCTCTCAAGTCTCCGAGGAGGGGCGCCCTCCCCCGAGCTCTTTGCTATTTCCTTTCAACCTAAATCAGCGAGAGGGGTGGGGAGCTGCTAACAAAGCCAAGTATTTATCTCCCCAGAGGTTCACTCTTTCCCAGCACGTGAACAGGCTTTTATTAATCGCGTTGGGAAACACCAAGAGAGTGGGGGGAAGAAGTGAGGAGCTGCCGCACGGTTTTCCGGAAAAGCACGCGCACGCACACGCACGGTGAATGAATGCCCCCCCCCCCCCCGCCCGGTCTCGGGCACCCAGCATCACAGAACTTGAACAGAACTTGAATGAATGCCTGCTCGGCGGGACTGAGTCCCAGCTCTGCTCACGTGCGGTGACAGAATCTCAAGGTCAAATGCCATCTTAGAGACATCTACCATTTCTCAGATGAGGAAACTAAGACCCAGAGGAAGCCACTTGTCCACACAGAGGTGGTGCCAGACCAGGCTGCTCCTTAAGTCTGTCACTGCTCAACTGAAATAGGATGACTGAGAACGTGACCTGCTGAACGTAAGCCTGTCCTGCCTGGGTGGCTTGCTCGCAAGGGCCGACGTGACCAACCCCAATGACTGCGAGGAAGGGCCGCTCTGTCTGTAAACCTGGAAGAGCAGAGCCAGCAGGCTGACCGCTGCTGCCACGGCCCTCCCCAGCACACGCTTCCAGAGCCGCAAACCCCGCACATAGACCCGCCCGGCTGGACCCACACGGCAGGGGCTGGACTTCAGGGAGTTCGCTACGAAACAGCAACTTACCTCATCCTTGTGGCATGGGAAAAAGAAACATAATTTCATTAGAGGCAAGTAAGCATGATCTGCTAAGACCGGTGGGTGCCCCACGTGGGTGCTGCGTCCCAGCCCACTGGGTCTGCAGGGAGGGGCCCCCAGGGCTCTCCCCTCGACCGCACCCGGTGAGCCAGCCTGTCCAATCCTTCTCAGACCGTTCTTTTGCCTGGGCATTGACTGCCGACAGACAGCCTAAGGGACTGGGGCCAGGAGGGCCCTCAGCTGCAGGGACCCACACTGTCACCTGCGGAAGCTTTCCTGAGAAGCTCCAGAGAACAGGCCCACGTGTCAGGACTGATGAAACTGCCGGCTAAGATGGGGCCAAGCAGGCTTCTGTGTGGCCGGCCTGTGGCCAAAACCCAGCATGGCCCACGGAGAAAGCTACTGTTGTCATTGCATTTTACACAGGGGAAAGCTGAGTCACAAAAAGGGCGAATGACCTGCTCAGTGTCCCACAGCTGGTAAGTGGTGAGGTGGGTCCTGCCTGTAGTCTGGGCTCGGGCTGCACTGAATCAGTTGGCTCGAGTGCAAGGCAGGGAGTCGCTCTCAGCGTCCTTGCTTCACCACGGGGCGGGGAGAATTCTGCCCTTAGCGAATAGGCGCAGGACCGGAGCCATCGCCTTATCTGCTCCCTCAGGGCGGGAGCGGCACCCGGTGACCCAGCATTCCAGCTGGGAGAGCCCAAGGTCCCTAGGCACTGGGCGTGTTCGAACGTTGGAAGGCTCAGGCCCGTGGGAATGGGAAGGGAGGAAAGTTAACCCTGAACCCAAACTGGTTGAGCTCACTGTCTGAAATAAGAAGTGTGACAGGGAGAAGAGCTGCACAGCGAGACCACACTCCCCTCCTGATCTGGACCAGAGGCTGCGGGGCGGCTGCCCGTGGTCTGCCCCCTTCCCGGCCCAGCCCCAGGGTGGGGTAGAAAACCGGTGGTGGAGGGGTGTCCTGCACACTCTGCAGCTTCTGGGACGCACTGTGAAGGAGTGCCAATGGTCAGCCAGTGACCATCCCAATTCTTAGCAAGAAAGAACATGCTGCCTCTCCCCTAGGGTTCAGAAAGCCCTGCAGTCGTGCCCGGCGTGTAGAAGGCAGAGCATCAGCTCGCTATGAGCCAGCGCAGAACTGGAACAGAAGGACAGTGTGTGGTTCGACCCCGTAGGCCAGGCCTCTTCCAGGCTGAGGGGGATGCGTGCAGCCTGCTCTTACCTCAAACTGCGGCCAGTTCATGGACATGCCTGGCCCGTGGTTGGCCCTGAACCACCTCAGGTCCTCCACCGCATCGGCCGCTTTGATGCTCTGCTCCAGGTCGCAGTAAATGTTTCTGTAGCTGAACCAGAGAGAGAGGCATGATGCTTCTGAAAGGCAGGGATGGCACTGTCCACCCTGGCACCGTGCCTGGCAGAGCAGGCACGAGCTCTGCGGCCACACAGCAGCCGACGTCACAATGCAGATCAGGACACACCACCCTGGTTCAGCCGGGTCATCATCCGGCCTCAGCGTGAACAGAAGCAAGCAACCACCACGGTGGGGAGCCCACCGAGTGGGCCCCTAGCAGTCAGCTGGCAACAGCGTGGCTCTGCTCTGTATCAGAATGCAAAAAGCACTGACACCTGGGCCACACAGGCCACCAGTGTGGGTGGCCCTGTTTCATCAGGTCCAGAACCAAGCGTCAAGAAAGTCCCTCCCCATCCCTTCAAGAAGCTGGGCAGTTTATGCTCAGCCACAGAAAAGCAGGGCGCAAAGACACCACCTGGTGGGAGGGACGCCTTCGGCTCCATGGCTCACGGCAGCCGACCTTCCCAGGAAGCCAACCGTGCCGGGCAGGAGTGTCACCAAGGGTCCTGGCACTGTCACTGCTAATCTACGTGGCTGGCAAGTCACCACCCTCTCTGGGCCTCACCTTCCACTCCTTCAAGTGGGTCTAATGCCATCTGTTACAGGCTGACTTGTGTTGAAGTCCTAACCCCCAGCAGCTCTAAATGTCCCTCACAGGGTCCCTACAGAGGTATCAAGTCAAGACGGCCACCAGAGTGGGGCCCGAACCCATGGACATTTTCTATAAAAAGGGGAAATCTGGACGGACACCCACAGGGAAGACGATGTGAAGCCGCACAGGGCGGAGACGGCCCTGTGGCTGCAGTGATGCCTCGCCAGCGGGGAAGGCCAAGGACTGACAGTGAACCCCAGAGGCCAGAGGGGCAGGCAGACCCTGCCCCAGAGCTGTCCTGCTCCCAGCCTCCAGGACGGGGACACATTTCCACTGACGGAAGCCACCCAGTCTGCGGTACACTGTGACACTAGTACACCGTCTCCCGGCCAGCGGCACGCCGCCTGCGGACAAGCACTCCCGCGAGGAGTTACCCTGCTCACGGAAGAGCAGCCCCAGCCCCGTCCCACCTGAGCTGCGGGGCCTCGGGCAGGTCACTCGACCTGGCCCAGCCTCAGCCCTCTCATTGGAGAGACGGGGCGCCGCCTCCCCCTGCACGGGCCACAGTGTAGAGAGTGAGGAAACAGCGGCGTGGCGGTGCGGGGACTGCTGCTTTCTCTACACGGGCGACACAGAGGAATGTAACTTCCCGCTCACAAGCCTACTTGTGACTACTGGGTCGATGGTACATGCTCTGCCCTGTGGGCGCCAGGGGTCCCAGTCCAGAGTCAGCCTGGACCTCAGCCCTGCACAGAGGCAGCATGGGACCAAAGACAGGAAAGCGCAGAGCAAATATCCCGGCTCCACATCACGGTGCAGGGCAAAGCCCAGAACCGCGGAGGAGTCAAGGGCCCAGCCAGCAGCCGGCTGCTCTGGAGGGGAGTGACTCACCAGGAACCCCAAAGTCGACCACCAGGGGGCAGGGCACGCCATCCCTGAAGTGCTGACTCCCAATTCACCCAGGGGCTAGTTGGAGCTGCGGCCTCCCCTCCCTCCCAGGCTGGCAGAGCACGGGCCCTCGTCGAGGGGCTTCAGCCGGGCCCAGCAGAGGGCCATCCCTGAGGGGAAGAGCTCAGTGGCTGTGAGAAGACTGGACAAGTACTGCTGTCCCAAGTCTGGGGGCAGTGACGGAGCTCTGCTTGAGAGCAGCGGGGCACTGACTTCACTGGGACGTGCTTTGTGGCTGAGAGGATACTTACCTGGCCACATTTGACAGGTCGAGGTGCTTCTGAACCTCCAGCAGAACCTCCCGGAAGAAGCGCAGGCGCTTCTCCTCGAACTGCTGGCACTGCTCGAACACCTGCTCCATGTTCTCCATGTACTGCGGTGTGCCCTGGTCCAGCTCCTTCAGCGCCTTCTCGTACTTCTCTTTGGTCTACGGGAAGAGGGGACACCGCCCGGGAGGGCCGGGGGCCGAGTCAGTGAGCCAGGCTGGGCGCCACACGGGCCACTCTCATAATAAGCACAGTGAGGAGCTATGCCCAGCATCTGGGGGGCACCCCAATCTATTTCCTTTGCACCCCTCAAGTTCCTTGACACACACCCCCGCCCCCACCCTCAGAGCCAAGCTGGTGGTAGGGCTGGGGGCTGGAGCCCAAGCCAGCCCCTGCCCCTTCCTGGGAACTGTCCGAGTACAAGATGGGGCCTTGCACTCAGGCCCTGTGACGAGGGCCTTCCAGGCAGAGCCCGGCCTGCATCTGAGGAGTCCTTCACAAACATCCCATGTGACCTCCTCACCGATCCACTGTGGGGGGGCACCCTGGATGCCACGCCACCGGTTCACCGTCTCTTTTTCACCAAAAGCCCCTGTCCCACCACCCCTGAGCTCTGGCGGCCTCTGCTCACAACTGTTTGGGGCTTTCTGCAGCTGCCAGAAAAATCCTCTCACTCCCAGCCCCTGCGGCCCCAGTGCACCAGCCTCCTCCTGTCCATGGAGACTCCCTGCCACGCCAGAGCAACCCTTCTGAATGGCTGGTCCTCCGCACCTCCGCCCCTCCCTTCCCCAGAGACTTCCTGCCTGCAGCATCTCAAGCTCTTTGCTTTGCCTGACTTTCAAGGCCATGGGCACTTTGGTTCTCAAGACCCTCCGTGCAGGCTCAGACACCAGCTACCCCACCTTGCCCTGGGGACATTCACAGCTCCACGCCCTGCGCCAGAGCCCCTTTCCTCTGTGAGCCTACAGCAACCCCCACACACGGGGTCATCATTCCCCTGATCGCAGCCCTGGTGAGACCTTCCCGAGGGCAGGGGTGTGTTTTAGTGCCATATCCCTCCACCCACCCGTGCCGCCAAGCAGCGACAGATGCTCCCTGTGTGCCAGACACCTGGGCAGGAGAGGCAAGGGCGCTCACCATGTACAGAGAGTGCATGATTTACCTTCAGAACGTCTTGCTTGCATTTTTCTACTTTGTCTTGCAATTTCTTAAGCTGTTCAGGGTTGAGGGATGGGTCCACTTTGCTATTGTTTTCTCGTGATATTGCCAACTTCTCCTCTTTGCATGCTGTGTGGTAGGCTTTCTTTGCTGCTTCCACCTGCAGAGAGAGGGGTTCCTGAGCACCGTGATTCGGGAAGGTCAGAGTCCTCGCCTGCAGAAGTGCCTGTGAGGTCCAGAGGCGAGGAAAGAGCTGGAGCAAAGCTGCGTGCGGCAGAATCGCCAGTGGCTGTGAGAGAGGGCCTCCTTCAACAGACACTGACCGGCGCCTGCTCCGTGCCAGCGCTGTCCAGGGCACCAGGGAAGGGCACGGCACCAGACGGAGGACCTGGGCGTGCGTGGCGCTCCAGTAGAGCTGGGGAGGCAACTACAAGAGATTATTCAAGCTGAGGGTGTATTAGAAGGTGACAAGTGCTGAGGAGGAGAATAAAACAAGGGAGAGACGGGAACCCTGTGGTGGGGCCAAGCCAGTGGGGCTGCGTGGAGACAGCCACCCAGGTGACCTGGAACAAGAAGGTAAAGGGGGGTGGCCCTCTGAGGGAAGCGCACGCCAGGCCGCGGGACAGCAAACGCAGAGAGAGCGTCACAGGAAAAGCCCAGCACAGGAGAGGGGGCAATGTGGGGAGGCAGGGCCACAGGCCGCATGGCCCACGATTTTCAGTGGCTGTTACACACACCCGTGTGCGAGCACACACATACTGATGTGCGCATGGGTTCTTTAACAGAAGCTTCGTTACTTGAGCCAGTCACAGATTTCACTTCGGAGAGGAGATGAGGGGTCTCGTGGGGGGCAACGTCGTTATACATGGAGCCGGGGACAAAAAGGAAAAGAAAGGAGACGTGGCAAAGGCCGAGACGGAGGAGAGGAGGAAAGGCCGTTGTTGTGACCAGAAGATGCAGGTGTGTGGGAGGGGCCTGGGGGTGCGGGGAGCAGCCCTGGAGGGACGCGGGTCTGAAAGCCCCCAGTGAGCCAGGGCTGGGCAGGACACGGTCACGTTGGGTGCTGCTTTCAGGAAAACAAATCTCAGTGCTGTTTGCAAATGTGAGAGAAAAACCCACACGAGAGAGAATAATTTTAAATGAATCCTTTCTCCTAGCCCAAAGGGGCTCTCAAAAGTCTGTAGCGGACGACTCCGGGGTTGGGGGAAGTACTGTTAGCGTGTCGGAGTTTGGGTTTGGGGCCCTATTACCAGCATGTGGTCCTGAACCTGTTTCCCGACTATAACATGGAGTGATAAGGGTTAAATTTAAGTCTGGACTTGGGGTAAACGTTGGCCACTAAGGCCTTCTGTTTCTGAAGCTGCACACGCAGGGACTCCTGGGGGTGTGGGGGGCACTGCTGCAGGGAGGACTAGGGCCACGTGGTCACCAGCTGGGCCCACAGGCCGTGGGCAGCAGGGAAGCCTCGGGCAGGGCGCACCTCTTTCAGCTTCTTGGCCCAGGGCTTCTGCGCCTTCCGAAAGCCGTCCTCCGCCTCTTTGGTCTCCTTGAAGCCTCCCATCATCTGCTTGTGGAAGACCTCCTTCTGCCAGTTCTTGACCTTCTCGAAGTCCTCGTTCATCAGGGCGGCCTTCACCTGCAGGTGCAGCTCGCTCACCCCCTCCGCCTCCGACGTGAGGGCCACCCAGGCCTTCTCCAGCGTCCCGTACTGGGGCCCTGCAAGGACACAACCTGGGGTCACCGACCCTGCGGGGCCTCTCCCGCTGCGGGGGCTTGGGGGTCTGCGGCCCGGCCGTCGGCTGGGAGGCTTCCTTTTGGTGTTTCCGACACTTTTCTCAGGGGCTGTTCCCTCTTTAGCTCCTAGGATGATGAAAGTGAGAAGGAACTGAAGCTGAATCAGCTCGGCCAATCTTTTACAAGGGAATTAGGGAATTACCCAAATTTCCTCTTTTAAAGTTACCAGGTTCTTAAAAAACTCAAATTTCTGAAGTTTCCATTTGAGTAAGTCTGGCTGTATAAGGAGGGGCCTTCTGAAGTGAGCTGACCTCCAGAAGGAGGTCAGGAGGTCAGGAGCGGCCTCCTGGCCGCTGCCCCTGGGGGATCCGTAGCACTGCGGCCCCTTTCCTGGGCCACAGGCTATCCTGGCGGACCAGCGCAGGAGCTCTGCTGTTCACCCCAGGAAGAGCGCAGCCAGGAGCAGGGACTGGGGAGCTGCCTGTGGCACGGAGGGCTGTCCCCTCAGCGGAAGAGAAGCCCTGTCTTGGGGGAGGAAAGACAGGTGGAGGCAGGGAGTGGCCCCGGCCTGGATGGAACTCTCTAGATCGTGGGATGGAGCGCCCACCTCACCTCACTCACTGTTCTCAGGAAGGAAACCCACACTCCAGCCTCATGTCGAGGGTGTGGGGGGCACGAGGTGAGGGAGGGAGGAAGAGGCGGAAGCTGGGAATGACAGTCAGTGGAGGCCCGGGGTCCTGCCTTCCAGGTGCTCACAGGGGACAGTGACTGTCAGCTGGGCAATGACGCAGACAGGCCCTGGGGGGAAGGCAGGGTGGGCGGCTGTGGAAGGTGAGCCCCTCTGGACCGCTAACCCTGCAGCACCCGGGCAAGACCCACGAGGCGGGGTCAAGCGCTTTGTGAACCTCGAGTTTGGAAGGGACAGAGGGGTTGTGCTGACAGCTGGGTCCCGAAGACAGAAACCAGTGACATCGGGCCCACTCCACACACAGCCGCCCCACTGCTGACACCTACTCTGCACCCATCTCCACGGGAAGCCCCACAGATGGGCTCAGGGGAGAAAGGAAGCTGGCCTAGGCCCACCTGAAGCAGCCCGCCGCCCTGCCCTCCAGGCCCCCTCGCCCCTTGGCCTTGCCTCCCTGGGTTGGTGCCTCCAAGAACCTGAGGGTCTCCTACTAATCCGCTCTGCCCCAGGCAATCTAAGCTCCCCCTCGACTGCTGGGAAGTGCGTCCTGAGCGCAATCCATGGCCGCAGCAGCGTTCTGTTGCTAAGCTCCAGAGTCTCCTGTTTGGCTAGGAAGGGAGAGGGGAGATGGGCAAAAATTTGTTTTGCATTAAACTCCCAAATCAGAAGCCCTGCCAGGGGTCACCATCCATCCCATCCGACTGCTCCAGGACCAGACCCCACAGATCGGCAGCTCTGGGGTCAGGCCTCTGGGCCGATGGGCGCGCGCTCCAGTTTGGGCCCTCGGGGAGCTGTGGGAGTTCAGCTGGCGAGCGTGGCACATCCCGTGGATGGTGGGGGCTGCCACGGGAGACTCAGGTGCCCACCCCAGAGAAGTCCTATAGTGAAGAAAGCGGAGGGAGTCTCACGCAGCCTCCGCTGCTGGGTGATGACAGTGCCCTGCGGCTGCCCCAGGTGAATCCCAGCCCAGCACGGCGAGAGCGCTCCTGCCCACTTCCTTATGAGAGCGGAGCCGGCACGGGGAGGTGGCCGATTCACCCAGACCTGCCCTGGGCAGGGGCCCCTACCCTTCTCCACGAGCTGCCGCCAGCGCCGGGCCCACTCGGTGAGCTGCTGCGCGTAGGCCTTCTCGATGCGCGCGCGCTCGTGCAGGCAGTTCATGAGGTCGCTGCACAGGCGGTGGCCGTCGTCCGTACGCTTCACAGTCCGCTTGTAGTTCCCGACCTGGGAGACAGGAGCCAGCGGGAGGCTTGGGGCATGGGGCGTGGCCCACCTGCCTGCCCTCCCTGCCGTACAGTCAGCCTCTGGGCCACGCAGGCTCCAGGGGGCTCCCCCGGCCCCCAAAAGGCCTCCTGCACCAGCAGACGACAAGCTTCTGTTCTGCTTCACCAGCAGGAGCACACAAAACAGCAATTTGAGCTCAGCTGGTGTGGCTTAATGGATTGAACACCGGCCTGCAAACCAAAGGGTCGCTGGTTCAATTCCCAGCATGGCACATGCCTGGGTTGTGGGCCAGGTCCCCAGGTGGGCAGTGTACGAGAGGTGACCACACACTAATATTTCTCTTCTTCTCTTTCTCCCTCCCTTCCTTCCTCTCCAAGATAAGTAAATAAAACCTCGAACCCCCCCCCCCCCCCAGCAACTCGAGGCTCCTCCGTGTCTGTGCGGCAGGAGGGCAGGCTCTGACCTGTGGGAGGGAGGGGACGGGCCTGCTCGGGAAGGGCAGTGACACAGGGGAGCGAGGGACTGCGGGCACCCTGAGGGGCCTCTCACTGGAGAGACGTAAAATAATAACTTTTTAGGAATTCATATTAAAATGCTCTCACATTACAGACTCTTGGGTAAAGGCCTTGGGTCATCACGGGTATAAAGAGGCTTCCGGGTGCGCTGCCCAATCACAGTGATCGACACTGTTTTCCACCTGCTAAGCACCTACTGCGTGCCAGATGCCACACTGGGCACCTGCCCCTCCAAACGGTGCCACCGCCCTGAGCCAAGACCACGGCTCAGAGATGCTGCCCAGTTTGCCAAGACCCCGCGGCTGCAGACCCTGCTCTGTGTCCACAAGGACTAAGGTAGGTTTCGACTACTTTTCCTCACAATTGAGAGGAGAAACCAACTCCTCATCTAAATTGCGAACAATAAAAGGATGATTAAGAAAATACTAGTAACTCATTTGGGGCAATAATCAAGCGTCGACATTTCATTCTTTGAGCCACTGACTCCAAAGGACACCATGCAGTCCACCGGCTCCCAGAGGAAACGCGACAGAAGCGGGAGCTGTTGTACTTCAACACTCTCCTCCCCGTCCTCAGAAACCCCAGTCCACGCTTCGTCAGGTTCACTCTCTCCAAAAGGCCCTTGGCCTGGCTGACCGTGCCCGTATCTCCTCCCTGCTGACAGTGAACCTGGACCCTCTGCAAAGCAGGGCCCCTCTCTGCTGAGCTGTGGCCGGCCCCGGTGGCACTGCCTGTCCCACTTAGATTTATGAACAGCCGGGCTACCAGAGCTTCTCCTACCCTGAGTCCAGAGACCAGGGTGAGGAGGAGGGTCTGGGACAGTGGTGGAAGGGCCTGCCAAGGCCCAGAACACAGGGCCCTGTGTGGAGATGGGCGAGGTGGGGGATGGCCAAGGTGACGGCGAGGAAAGCGCCTGAGCACCGGCACCGCTCCCTCCGCAGCCCCGGCAGCCCAGGCCACAGCCTGGCTGTGCGTCCTTGGCCAGGGAAGCAGGCCAGTGGCCCTCCGACACACGGAGGCTAGACCGGGGCGCTCAGCTCACCCCTCCAGCAGCCCCTTGTTAGGAAGGAAGGAGAGAGCAAGCATTTCACCACCAGCTGGAAGTGACATCACTCACTCACTTCCCATTTAAAATGGGACCTTGCTGTCGTTTCAAAATTTATAGCAGGGTGAAGAAAAAATCCCACGAAACACCAGTCAGCATCGCCGAGCAGGTGGCAGGGAGGGCCCAGGTCGTGCGGATCCGCGCGCCCCTGATGGTGCCCCGTGGCTGCTGGGCAGAGCTGTTTTCAGCTCACCGTTACCGACGATGTTCAAAGTGGTCACAGTGTCAAAGCGGGCTGTCTCCCCGGAAACCTGCTCACCTCCTTGCCTTTCAAAACCCTCGTAGGAGGATCTATGGAAAAGCAAAGGGTGCTTCTTAACCAGGTCCACGTTGGTATAGCTCCTCGGTCGGCAGGAGCAGGGGGGCAAAAGTAGGTTTACAGCTGTGTGTGCACACGACACCATTATTCTTGTGTCGTTACTAGTAACTGATACTAAGTGCTATTCTTTTCCGCACGAAGAACGGTGAACCTAGTTTTGCCCCACCCTGTGTTTAAATAATGACTCTTGAAATCTGACGAGCAGCAAGGAACACCAGGGAGATGCTTCCAGGGGCACGTGTTTTATGTCTAAGAGCCGGCGCCCTGGCCACTGCTGGGGCCGGAGGTGGGCGTGCTCAGGACGCCAGCAACCCCGGGTGCCCCAGCAACGCCCGCCCCACTGGCTTCGTTCAGCGCCAACGGCCCACGTGGGCTCGTGACAGACCAGCACTTCAGCCCCACAGAACACCCAGGTGTCACTGTTTCCGTCTCCATAAACCACCTGGTGATAGAGCCCTGTGGCCGGCTGGCCCCCCGAGCAAGGCACTGGCAGCCCTCCTCAGAGCAGGGCTGCTGACAGCCGTGTCTCTAAACTGAGCCCAGCCCACACACGCCAACAGGTGCCCCTTCCAGCCACGCACAGGTGAGCTCAGACCAACGTGTGCCGTGCACAACCTGGCCACAGCAAGGCACGGAGCACTGCCATCGCCCCATGTGGTCCCTGGCCACCGCTGCTCTGGTGTCTGTCCCTTCCCCCAGAGGGCCAGGGCACGTGGGGCCTCACGGTCGTAGCCTGGCCTTTGTGACTGGCTCTGTCTCTCACCGTAACTCTTTCGAGACCGACCCACACCACTGCTGGGGTCGGTGGTCCCTTCCTTTCCGCTGCGAGGGCAAGTCCCACTGCAGGCGAGCCCACCCTGCGTTTCTCCTTCCTCCTGCCGAGGGCCGAGCGGGCTATTTCCAGTGTGGGGGCGGTTACAGACACAGGACCAGAATGGCGGATAATGCAGGAATTGGAAATTCGCTTTCTTCCAGCCTGTCATCACTTGATTCATTCACAAAAGGCCCTTTTTATAACGGGCTGAAGTCATCTGCGTCCCTAACTTCCTCTAAATTCAGGAACCCCCTCAGATATCAAGATAATGAAGACATGCTCAACACACGTGTGCCTGGGTGCAGGACCACGATGCTGTCCTCTCCCTTGGGGACGGCCTGGCCGAGGGAGGGTGGGGTGGGGGTCAGGGGGCTACACCGAAGGCAACATCCAGGCCGAGTTTTCAGGGACAAGCAGGAAGCTGGCCACGTGAATGGGGAGGCGAGGGTGCGATTCCAGGCAGGGGGAACAGTGTCACCAGAAGATGTGACAGCGTGGAGACCTGGGGGCACTGAGACGTCCACCAGGAACACGGAACACAGAACTTGGAGGAACGAGGAGAGACTTAGCTGAGGGTGGTGCAGGGTGTGGGTGGGAGGTGGGTGGGACAGCGAGCGGTCTCCGGGGTGAGGCCTTCATCCGGAGGGCACTGTGCTCAGGGACTGGTGGGCTTTGGGAGGAGAGCCAACACAAGTGCTAACGTGAGAAGGGGGGGCGGGCACCGCGGGCAGGGAGACAAAGTGGCAGGGGAGGGGTGTGGACGAAGTGGTCCCACACCACCTGCCCCAATTCCGGCTCCTAAGGCTCAGCTCTGCCTCCCCATGGCTGCTTCCCTGCCCCCTGCGGCCCCTGCTGGACCACCAGCAGGGGCGCCTATGTCACCAGCACTTGCAAGCAGCTGAGACCAATTCCCCACCCCGGGCTCCTGCTGGCTGCACCGCACGAGGGCCGTCCTCACACTGTCCCCATGCCCGCAGTCCCAGCTCGTCCCCCTTGGCTGTCAACCGTGCGTGTCAGCTGCCCACTGTGCTGGAACCACTGAGGGTCCGTCAGCAGCAGCATCACAACAGAGCACGTCCACGCTCGGCTGGGCAGTGCCGACAGCTCTGCACATGTCACATCGTCCAGCCCTGTCGCGATCCTCGGCAGTGGGTCCTACTAGTGGTCCCACTTTACAGAAAAGGAAACTGAGGTTTGAAGAAGCAAAGTCACCCGTGACCATGCAGCCGGAAGGGGCAGAGCCGACCCATGGAACCTTCTCAGGCCGAGGAGAGAGAGCACGCAGAGTCAAGACTTAACAGGTTGGCATCATGTGACGTGCGTGCCTCCCACCAGCTGCACAGACGCAGCGCAGGCCCGAGGTCAAGGAGGTAAGGCAGTGTGCAGCCCCGCCCTTGACCCCACCATGTGCTGGGGAGGCTTGTGCCAGGAACCCCAGGTCTGAAAGCCACTGAGCACGCTTGCCCAAGATGCCTTCATCTTCCCCTCAGAACGCTCACGCCCTTGAACCTGCCACCTGAAGGCCTTTGCACACCGCTCCCTCACCCCTGGGGTTGCGGTCAAGGGCGAGCCCACTGGGCTGAGCACACCGGACAGAGGTGAAACCCTGTGGTGCCCTCACCCGGCCGCCCCATGGAGACAGAGTCTCATTTCATCCAAAGCTGATGAAACATGAGAGGCTCCAGAACATTCTCCACCAGCTTGAAAGACAGGGTGAAAGGGGACCCTCTGGGCTTCCTTAACTCCAGGCCACAGGCAGCAGGGAGAGGGGCCAGTTAGGGTCCATCAGCCCCCAGCCCTCCCTGACACGACCTCCTCTCCTTGCACGGGGTGGGGGTCCGCAGAGCTCTGCCGGTCAGGCCCCCGCATTCCTAGTCCTCCACCTGGAAGGTGCGGCGGCACTGACACTGTGAGGACCCAGAGCACTGGGAGCGGCGGGTTTGCAGGCCGGGCCAGGGTCTCCAGTCAGGTGCGTTCGGCCCGGCACGGCCATCACTTGACCAGACGGGCCATTTCCTCATCTTGGCCACACGGACACAAAGCGAAGGGGGAACTCGACCAGATGACTTCCCCGAGTCCTTCCTCATTCCAGGGTTTCTAACTGAACACTCAGCCAGGACACCAGCTGGCTGGCGACCTGCCGGAGCACTGCTCTCAATTTCTGAGGGCCTGGCGACACCCTCTTGCCACTCACAAATATGTAACCACACCTACTGTGTGTCAAGGACATGTGAGGGACTAGGGACA